AAAATGTGTGATAGCTTAGCTACTATGCATGTTTTGAATATATAATCCCTCAGTTTAATACGCACGCCGATCACAAGACAGGCGTTTCTATTTCTCTTTCATTAATTTAGCTCACCAATCTTGCTTGTTTTCATTAATTTTTATCCCCCCCCCCCCCAAAAAAAAGTCGCTATTATACTGTCCGAAAAATGCTTGTCTTAATTCATTTATTATTTTCCGAAAAAGGCGCCATATTTTGTTATAAAAACAACATTTATAATAATATAAAGTATATAAATAGCAATGTTTTTTACTACTAGAATGACTGCACATTATTACAATTTGTTATTTTTCAGCTTTTTATTTTAGGCATAGATCTATATTCCTATATATAGATCTAGTATGCCTACATATAAAAACCTATGCTTATCTAAGTATATATATATATATATATATATATATATATATATATATATATATATATATATATATATAACCTATGGTGTAATCAACTCAATGATATAAACGCCGAGAAAATCAACATAGATCTACCAACAGTTGAAAAAAAAATTGTCGTATTGTAATTTATTTTTAGAATTGAATGGATTGTCAATGAATTTTTAGAATATATTAGATTTCTAAAACATCAAAGTGCTTGGCCTTACTACTAAACGACAATATTTATAGATTCTAGTAATCTAATATTTTTAAAAACGAATATTAAAAGTGAAAAAAAAAGCTGTAAGTTCGACATTGCAGTTACACACTAGAAAATCTATATTTAGCAAAACATTTCTCATGTAGAAAAAAACAACTGTAGATCTAGGCCTTAACCTAGATTTTGCTACCCCACCTTGCCTTCCCCTCAAATAATTGATAGCTAAACAACATTCTAAATTAGCCTTAGATCAAAATCTTCAAAGCCCTTTCATTTATTTACATATGTTGAGCTTGACTCTGTGTATACCTATAGTTTTTATGCTAAAGAGAAATTGAATAAATATGTGTTTTCTTCATGCACATGGCAACATTTAATTTGTCTAGTAAGGGAAGTCTACGGAATTAAATTTAATAAATAATGTTGGATAGGCAAAGCCTAGCCTAAAAAATAGTAGGCCTAGGCTAAGCTAACCTTGACCCAAAGCTTTAACGAAATAGTGCGCGCGCATTGCCGACAATATTTTGTCTTCGTATTATAATTTTCAAATTGTACGATTTTAAAGAAATTATTGCTACTTGACACATTATTCTTTAAAAATACCAAGAATTTTAAAATTTAAGTAAACTACCATCTATATTATTTGACAAACGCTATGCACGCACAATTTGTTTACGAAGACAAAGTGTGAAACGCGTCGTCATTAGCATGATTGCCAAACAGTAAAAATGCCAGTTAGGCCTTTAAATTTTTTGAAAAAATCGTTAATCGACTAATCTTGGACTCTTAAAGTGTGAGACGATTTTAATAGTTAAACTTACAGCAAGTAGAAATATATAAATTTATAGTGTTTTGGTAAACCGAATAAGTGATACTGTGAGACATTCTGGCACGACTTCTTTTTAAAGCTAATATATTCTCTCAGCCAAGAGACACAACGAGTTTCAGTTACTATAAGACACTGATACGATTCAGTTAAAGTAAATGAAATAGATAAGTATGTATTAGCAATTATTTGAAACAATATTGTTGAGACATTCGATAAGTTGCATCTTGCAGGTTGAGCAAATCAAATGGCAAACATATTGAGTTATATATATCTATTCAAAGTGATGGTGGTATCTTAGAACAATACAATTTGGTGTTTATTTAGCTTCACTGGTGGATTATAAAGAATTAATTGAATTAAAATTAAAAATGATAAGCAAATAGGTAAAAATTAAATTACCTACAATTCCAATATAATATTGAAGGCCAAAAAATAAATATATTTGGTTTAACAAAAAAGTACCTGGCCTTCTTGTCGACAACCAGTGGCGCACATGTAGGGTGATATTAGTAATCCATTGCAAATATCACAGTTCCAGAGTTGTAGCGTTCTCAACACATCTAGACAAAATGTCATTTAGCGGATCTTTTGGCGGAGGCCGTGGTGGCGGCGTAAGTTCAACAACAATGATGGTTGAGTCTTCAAATGTGGGAAAGATCATAGGTAAATTTCTCTTTTTCTTTTGTTCTCATTTTTTTGTTCCGGTACGAACAGGTTCCACAGACTCCATTTTAGAAGTCCTGAACCAGACAGCATGGGTTTAACAATTTAGCTTGATTGACCCTAACTCTTGGTAAAACACACCGTAAAAGTGTTTTTTTTGTTACTTAAAGAAATACTATCATCATATTTCTTAAACAGAAACTCAAAGATCATTTAAATTAATAATTTTGTTGAATTCTTTTTTTTTCTGGACTCTAATAAATTTAAGCCTGCCGGCCGCCCTTTGAATTGTACTACTTTGCAAGGGGCGCAATTCTATCACTTTTGAGAGACATTTCTAGAATCTAGATCTAGTCTAGATTATTGTAACCAGTGATTAGAATTTAATTGTTAGCATACATTCTAGATCTACATTTTGGTAGTTGATCTATTTTACACAATGACCATGCTTATTTTTCCAGAGTAGAGCTGACTGCCCATTTTTCTGCAGTTCTTAAATTCCCCCCTCCCCACATTTTGATCTAGAATAATCGGGAGAATGTTTACACCGGTGTCTGATAATGGAATCTTCTTTAAAAAAGGGGTGTTAGGTTACTGGTAGTTAACTAAATACTAGTAAATACACACATGGCTGGCTAATGTCAATGCTAACCCTGTCCCTAACCCTAACCCCAACCCTGGTCCAACCATACGCCTAACCCTAATTTCTAACCATAAAATTAGTCGAGATTACAATACTACTAACAACCCAACACCCCTTTTTTAAAGAAGATTCCATTATCGGACACTGGTATCTATAATCATCCGAATAATCTATAGCCTACTAAAGCCTACATAAACTAGTGTGCAGTTTCTTAATCTTAGTAATTTAACATTCTTATGAGAAGTGAAGTTGACTAATTTCATCAGCATTACTACAAAAATATAGAACTACTGGTATTAGCTTAGGGCTGGGTCTATGAGGCAATTTTATGTTCCAAGATATCTAAATGGTAGCTCATAGTCTGGCAGTATACCATAATTTATCTGAAACCAGTTTTGGGTTTGGTGTGGTTGTGGTAATAAATTCAAAAAAAGTTTAAAAAAAGAACCTCCTGGGATGTTAAGAAAATGTTGATCTTGCTAAATCACATAATTTTAGATGCCTGATAATAACTGCTCATTTGGTTTAGGTTTGTCTGAATTTTGTTTTGAGCTTTATTTTTGTTTTAATTTATACTAGTGACATGTTAAAATCTTTTAAAATGGGTGTTGGGCTTGCTAATGTCAATGCTACCTGTTAAACTTGAGATCTTAACCAACCTAACATACCTATTTTTGGAAGAGAATTATCTTACATCTGGTGTTGAAAATCATGTAAAAAAGTTCGTAGCATGCAATTTAAACTTTTTGCACCCGATAGTTCAGAGCCTCCCACAGTTGTACTTCAATTACTAGATCTAGTTGATTTTAAAAAAATGACTAGAATTGAGTATTCTCCATTGTTTAAATAAGTTAGCTTGCTAATGTCAATACCAACCCTAGTCCTACCATACGCCTAAACCTAGTTTCTTACCATAAAACAGTCAAGATTACAATACTTTTACCAACCTAACACCTTTGGAAGAATCTGTTACTAGGCATGGATATCTTCAATCATTGATTTGTTCTAACTTGCACTTCTTTTTTCCTCAGGTCGTGGTGGAAGTAAAATCAGAGATCTAGAACAAGACAGTAATGCCAGAATCAAAGTAATTTGAATTTAATAATAAAATATTTTAAAAGTTGTATTTCTAATTGTGTAATGTCATTTAACATAACTTGTTTGTTTTAAATAGATATCCAGAGATGAGGATGAGGATGGAATGAAATCTGTTGAAATCAGTGGAACAACGGAAGAGATTGAAAATGCCAAGAGACTAATTGAAGAATGCCTTAGTGGTGGTAAGTGCTATGCTTATATGTCAAGACAAACTATCAATGGGTTTTTAAAAAATGTAAAGCGTGACCTAGCATTTCAAATTGTCTTAGTTATTTTAGTCAGCCAATTTCAGTTTTTGTTTTAGAAAATGTATATTAGTATTTTATCTATTTAATTACAGGTGATTATAATGGTGGTGGAGGTAGACGTGGTGGATATGGCGGGGGGCGTGGAGGACGTGGTGGAGGAGGATATGGCAGAAGAGATGACGGTGGAGGATGGGGCAGAAGAGAACGTGATAGCGGCGATGGATGGGGTAGGCGAGATGATTATGATAGAGGTATTAAATGCCTTTAATGACGTAACCGTTACTGTGCCGTAAAGAATTTTTTTCATTGTCTGTATAATTGGACAGTTTCAACGATCACCCAGGTTTTTAACAAATTAAAATTCTTTCAGGAAGCCGTGGTGGTGGTGGCGGCGGTGGTAGAGGCTTTGGAGGTGATGGTGGTGGTGAATCTGAAACAATTTATGTTGAGTCATCTGAAGTAGGCAGAATCATCGGTAAGACAATAACCTAAATATTTAAGTTGTTTTTAAATGTTCTCTTCTTACTTTAATATTTAAGTTGTTACTATTTATAATTTCCTGTCTTTGTAGGTCGTGGTGGAAGCAGAATACGAGACATGGAAGCAGACAGTGGTTGTCGGATAAAGGTATTAACTTGCGCATATATTTTTTTCAGAGTGCATACATAGCTTGTTTTATGTGCTAGCGTAAGTTGCTTGTTTACATCAATTAGTCATAAATGTTTTCTTTAAAACAGGTGTCACGTGATGGCGACTCATCTGGTAGAAGTTCTGTTGAGTTATCTGGGAGCAAAAACGCTATTTCTGAAGCAAAAAGGCTTATTCAAGATGCTGGAGTTGAAATTGTTAATGGAAACGATCGTGGCCGTGGTTGGTGATTTATTCAACTATTTTCAGCAGATAAAAGCATCAAGGACTCACAAGATTTTCATCCAAGTTGCAATGTCATCATTTTTATTTTTTACTTTTTTTTTTTTGAGTATAGTTACCAAGTCATGTATCATTTATCATCCAGACCAGCTTAAATTATTTTTAAATTCTCGGAAGATTTGAGTCTTGCTCACTCGTGCAGAATGTCAGATGTTATATATAATTGGACTTAACCCCTGGAGAAATCTAATGTATATACTATTCGCAAACTTGATATGTTCACTGAGCGACGCCAGATTTTAAAGTATTGGTCTTATTGTTTTTAAAATCGTGTTCATTGTGCATTTTATGCTTACAAATTTCCAGCTTTGAATAAACACAACAAATTATATAACACAATTTACTTGTTGGTCCTTTAGCTCTAAACCAGGAAAACGTGGTTTGGATCAGAAGCCTTGTATTTCTTTCCATCCATGGTTTTTCTTTTGTGTTTTGTAAGGTTTTGGTATCCACTATATTTAATGGTTTCGGATGGTTGCACAAATAAAAGTATAGCTAATTAGTAACTTGCCAGTCCTGGTTTGAAGCTGTATTTATTGATTTTGCAGTTTTACTAAATGGGCATTTTACTTTTTTTCTATAAAGGTGGTTATGGGCAAGATATTTCGGGAGGTTTATCAAATAATGGCAAAGGTAATTTTTGTGTTTGTTTGTTCTGTTATTGCCACTGTTCAGAACCCGTGCCATGTCTATTTTGGATACCAAAAAAAAGGATGAGTGTTAAATTATTGGAATGTATTTAAATTTCATCATTTAGATCTATAATTATACATTACTCCTGATTCATTTAATGGTCTCAGTTGGGGTTTTGCCTGAACATTTCAGCAGGTGTAATTTTTCTGTTACTTGTACAGAATATTATGTGCTCTTAATTAAGCACTTAAAGTTGTAGTTGGAATACCTCAGATGTTTTAACATCCATTTTTTGTTTTTAAAAAAAAAACAATAGGATAACATTTTGCTTGACTTCTTGCACATCCATTGAAATAATTTCTATGGCAAGATGTTCTAATTCACCAGGGCAGGCAATTGATATATTGTATGCCCTCCTACGACAGCAAACACAACTACTTCAGATGAAATAGAAGACTGGGGAATTGGGACAAGTCATCCTTTGATTGATTGGAATGCCTTGAGGGAAGAGCAGAAGGTGATTGAGAAAAAAAGGTTTACAGGTAATTTGGGGATTACTTTAGAGTAGAACTTTTTCAATGTGTTTTTACTCAAGCAGAAATGACAACATTGTCTTAGATCATTTACTACTTGTTGCTGTTGATCAGAGTAGTCCTTTCTGATTCTCTTGAAAACTCCATGTTCATTAAAAAACTATTTGCTCCTAATGGGATTGAACTATATAAATGGGAAGGGGTAGTAGAACACTGGGAGTAGTCTCACAGGTACCAGTAGTTTCACAATACTGAATTAGAACAAGTAATATGAATTTAGTTTTTCATGCATTTTTTAGCATGTTAAAAATAATACTGTTGTGGTAGATCTATTACTCATTTTATTGTTCACAATTTCAAATAGTAATGTGCTTATTTTCTATTGGTAATTGAGGGTTAGTATAAAAATAAACTTTTGTGTAACTGTTTAGTGGATGTGCTCATTAACTCTTTCCTTACTGTACAATGAAACTGCAGAGCTTTTTCTGTACTAGTAGTGTTGCCTAAACCAAAGGTCGGCAATCAGCTCTTTAAAATGATTGCTCCTAATAGATCACCAAGAAAAGAAAAATGTACTACTAATGTTACATTTTTTATTTAAAACCTTATTAAACGTATATATTGCATTGTTTGCAAAAGATCATAATAGTAACTGTCAACAAAAAGCAGATCCTGGTTCTTAGAATTGGCACCTTTATCATACCATAAAGTTTTAGAACCTTCACTACAGCTGATTCAAGATGTTTGATGTAGCTCTGCAAGTGGTTCAGTTTATTTGATCACTGTTTAAAATATTTTATTTTGTATTTTATTATGTCAGGTCTGCCTCCCATTAAAAAGGACTTTTACATTGAAGATGAGAACATTAAAAACATGTCTCATGAAGAAGCTATGTTGATCAGGTCAGTTTAAAAACTGTTCACATAGAGGTTTTTTGTCAAATCATCATTTATTATAATGTATGTAGTCATGATTTTAACCGTTAACAAAAACTAGCTTGCATTGCATACTCCCATTTCAGCTTATCGATTCCACTTTTAATTGTACAGTCACAGCATCCTCCATTAAAAATACATTTTTTCGAACAGGAAAGAAAGTAACAATATTATAGTGGATAATCCTGAAGGCTGTTCTGTGCCCAATCCTGTAAAGACTTTTGAAGATGCTTTTCAACATTATCGTAAGTGGAAACCTGACATAAAACCCTTATGGGTATGTTTCTTCTGCTGAAGTATACAAATATGGCATCATCTGCATCACTGGAAAGGAAATAATTAAGAAAGTTTGTTAAATAAAAATTATTCTAATTTCAGTATATACAAGACCAAAGAGAATGGGATTTTAAATAATAAACAGGGATAATAAAAACTAACTCAGTAGAAATTACACTTAAAAATGCACCATTTTCCTTTTGTTTCAGAACAGTTCATTCCAAACTAATTCCATTTAGTTTTCATTCTTGGTTTCATTCATCCTTAACACTTTGCTTTTCATGATATGTATCATGCTTTTCAATCCTACTTTATTGGTCACTTGGTATAAAGATAGTGGCTTTTACCTAAATTTTGTTTGGGACTCTGACCTGTCTCTGTTACATACCCAGCACTTTTTTTAATGAACCTGCTGTGTTTGGAGTGGCTCAGATTTAAAAATTTAGTCTGTCTTTCCTTATTGCAAATTATGATGGGAACCACTCTCTTCCTTTTGATGTATTGATTTAACTATTTTAAACCATTGTATATTTTCTAATCAAAATTCATGTGAGACAGACACAAATTAGTTCTACCTTTCTAAGCAGCTGAAAAATAGTTCATGATTGCACCAAACTTAAAATTCACCATGCAAGCATGAGAAGAATTCCTATGCCCTGTATGAATGCATTGACCAACTTCATTACACATTCAGTAAAACTACTTAAGACCAAAGCAATGTTTAATCACCTATCTTGTATGCCCTGTATGAATGCATTGACCAACTTCATTACATTTACATTCAGTAAAACTACTTAAGACCAAAACAATGTTTAATCACCTATCTTGCCATTGGGTGGAACTTCATGGTCAAATGGTTAGGCAATAAATTGCCAACCCTAAAGTTTAGAGTTAGGGATCCTGGCTAGAGTCCTACTACTTCCCTGAGCCCCAACTCTGATGGGTATCTGACTTGCATTATTGAAATTAAAGGTGGCTGGGCATATTTTGTTCACCACACTAGACCTTTATAAGCTGAAAAAACGTAGACTGTACTTCACCTGCCCCCTGTTTTGACATGTTTAATAGGGAACTTGACTTGCCATTGGGCTGATCACTAGAAAACTCAGTATTAACTCCTACTGACAATGGGAAAGAGGTGACTGAATGATGAATGAACTCAATATAAAACCTTTGGGCATCCTGTTGTGAACATCTATTGGATAAAAAATTAGATGTGGAAATAAAATTGCTTACCACCACTCAGGAGTAACTTATGGCATCATGTTATGAGTGTGAAAATGTATAGTATAATGTACCTGTCCTCTGTTTTTGTTACCTTATAGCTAAGGTATTACTTAAAACCTAAAGGTTCATCCATTTGTGACATCTACACAATTTTTTAGCCCCCCCCCCATCTTTGTCAAGTTTTTTCCCAATATACTAATTCTATAACATACATTAAGTCTATCTTAAATGATGAATATAGCTTTATTCTTTTTGGTAAAACAACTAAAATTTGGTGACCCTTTAAAAATTATGTAACAATTATGTATCGTTTAGATACATCAGGTTTGGTAATTTTAAAATACTTGTAATTTTTTTATTAAGTTGTCCATGAAAAGTTTTTTCCGATTGTCTGCCATTTGTACTTTTTTTTTCAGCTGAAATACTTGAACAAGTTTATAATCAGCAATATATTAAGCCTTCCCCTATTCAGGTACACTCGGTTCTAATCATCCTATTTATGTGTTGATTATAAAGCTTAACATAAAGCAATTGATGCTTATGTCTTATGGTTAGAAGTGCTTTAAGAATCCTGACCGACATGACATTGTAAGTAATGTAAGTTCTGAATATTTTTGTGTTAAGTAATTTTTTGAAATCTTTTACAGAGCCAGGCATGGCCCATACTTATGCAAGGGAAAGATCTTATTGGAATAGCTCAGGTTTGCCATCCTTTAATTTTAATGCCTTGTAGTGCTTTTCTTATTTTCATAATGAAACAAATGAAAATTATGTATGGTTTGTGAAGACTTGTATTAAAATTATATCAAATTAGACAGGAACTGGGAAAACCATGGCATTTCTTCTACCAGCTTTAGTTCACATTGATAACCAACCGGTGTAAGTTGCTTTTGGTTAAAACTTATATTAACATGTGCATTTTAATAATGATCATTGTGTAAAAATGCTAATTCAGTTACACTTTAACTTGGTATGCATTGACTGTTTGTAGACCAAGGAAAGATCGTGTTGGACCATCAGCCTTGATTCTTTCACCTACAAGAGAATTAGCCCAGCAAATTGAAACAGAAATTAACAAAATAAATTACAAGGGTATAAGAAGGTAATGGCTTTGTGTATTCTGACTAAAGTTAATTATGGTAAATTAAACTTTCATTCCATTGTTTTTACAATCTATCTGTTATTTTAGATCCTTGGCATTTATTTCCTGTTTATGGTCATTTATTTCCTGTTTATGTATTATGTTTATGTATTAATTGTTAATTGTAGAACTAAATTAATAACAGGCTGTGACTATAAAAGGTTCCTGTACTGAACAGTCGTTACAATTTGTTTTCAGCATCTGTGCTTATGGTGGTGGTGATCGTAGAGAACAGCGTCAAAAACTTAAAAGTGGAGTAGAAATAGTTGTAGCTACACCTGGTAGACTGAATGACTTTATGAATTGTGGTGCGCTGAATGTTAAAAATGTTACATACTTAGTAAGTGGTCAGTAATTTCTATTCTAGACCATAAATATTAATGCATACTTTTTTAATGGGCTGCTTGCTATAGCTTCCATAACTGTAGGGATAGTTTCTAATAGTTGGATAGTTTCTTAGGTTTTTACATTTCTCATATATGTTGCACTACATTCAGGTTATGGATGAAGCAGATAGGATGCTTGATCTAGGATTTGAGATAGAAATTAAAAAAGTGATGTTTGATATCAGACCAGATAGACAGACTGTGATGACCAGGTAGGATATAAGCTCATTTGTAACAAATTGCTTTTCTTTGTTTGTAAATGTTATTGACTTAAACAATTTAGCCAAATATGACATTTTAAATATGAATTTTTTGTATCTTTATAGTGCAACTTGGCCACCAGATGTTCAGCGTCTGGCAGATCAGTATATGACAGATCCTTACAAAGTTTTTGTTGGAACTTTAGATCTTGCTGTATGTAGGCCTAATTTTTAATTTTATTAACAATATAAACAAAATGTACTTCTTTCATTTAAACTATTTTTATAGTAATTTATTATAATACAACTATGCTAATGTTATTGTTTTTTGTTACATTACGTGTTTAGGCTGTGCACAGTGTCAGACAGTGTGTTGAGATTGTTGAAGAAAATGACAAGAAAAGTTTGGTAAGGTTTACATACTATTGAAATTGAAACTTGCTTCTGCATCTTAAATTAATTAGAATATTTTTGTGTCCATATTTAGTTTGCAATCTTTCACATCCTTTTTTTCTTACTCATTTTTAGGCATCTTTTTTTTATAATGCAGGATGTGTGGAGTCAACTAAATATTTGCATATGCTCAAACTAAATTTCATATATTTTAATAAACTATTTAATTTCAGCTGTTAGATTTTCTATACCAGATGAAGCCAGATGAAAAAGCAATTGTTTTTGTTGGGAAAAAAATTATGTAGGTCTTGTCAAAGTGTTAGGATTGGAATATTATTAAAAAATAATTCAATAAATTCAAACTATAACCTGTTTTTTCTTTGTTGCATAATAGTGATTATATTTTTTATCAAATTTGTTAGTGCTGATGATGTTTCAAGTGATTTGGCAATGAACAACATTATGTGTCAGTGTATTCATGGTGATAGGTAAGTTAAATACACAAATCATTTCAATTACATTTTATTTAATGCAAATTATGTTTGTTCTTAATCTAAACATAATGTAAAATGTGCAGCTTAAGGGGAGCCTGCCAGGTTCATTAACATTTTTCAAATCAAGTGCAATGTTTCTAAAGAATTTATCATGTTCAGTTTTAATATTTTCATTAAGTAACCAAAATTTAAAAATTTAAATGGTAAATAATCTTACTAGATCATGCTGATAACTAAAGTATATACTCTTAAATATCTTAAAAGTAAGAGAAAAAGTTCTCATTTGCAAATTTTAAAATGATTCTTAAGATATTAAATTTCTAAATCTTTTCAGCTAAAAAGATGCAAGTGACAAAGATAATAATTATCAGGTCCCTTTCATAAAACATGGCCTATAAACATTACACTAAGCTGCCTTAGTACTTAGTACCTGGTTTTGTTACAAATTTGGTATTAAATTTTTTTTAGTTGCAATTAAAGAATACTATTTTCAGGGAGCAGTGTGATAGAGAAACAGCTCTTGAAGAGTTCAAAAATGGAACTGTTAGAATTTTAGTTGCAACAGATGTAGCTTCTCGTGGTTTGGATGTGAAAGACATAACGTAAATATTATTTTAAGTATAGTAAACATTAGGTGTATATTTTGTAGTGGTTTGATAAATCAATGTGCTCATTGTCAGTAACTTATTTTCAGGCATGTGATCAACTATGACTTTCCCAGGCATATAGAGGAATATGTCCATCGGATTGGAAGAACAGGCAGAGCAGGGTAAACTATTTTAAAAATTTGTTTCATTGTTTTACAGTAGAACTTGTACCTTCTATTAAATATGGGTATTTTGAAATTTGATCAATTTTTTTTGTTTAAACAGTCGATCAGGCACTGGTATAACATTTGTAACCAGAAATGACTGGAAAAGTGCACAGCATTTAATAGATATAATGGCTGAAGCTGGCCAGGTAAGTCTTTATCATATTTAACAATGGCTTTTTTATGTAAGTTTGTTAGATTTTGCTGCCTTGTTAAACAATTTACTCTTCTGTTTAATTGTGCCAATTCTTCCCATCAACAGGAAATTCCAGATGAGTTGGTTTCTATGGCAGAACGATATAAAGCATTTAAAATGAGAACACCAGATGATGGTTTTGCAAGAAGAGGTGCTTTCAGGGGTGGTAGGAAAAGAGACGAAGGTGCTGGTTGGTTTTGAAAAGTTCATTGAATCTCCAAAAAGTATTATCTCCAAAGTATCAAAAAATACATTTGTACATAGATTTTTTTATATTTTTGTATGTTTATAAATCATTTTTTTATAAATCATTTTTGGGTGGTTTTGAAATGTTCACAAAATCCCCAGTTGTAAAAAGATTTTTAAAATTTTATGTTCCATTGTTACAAATTGATATTCCATTGTTATTGAAATAAATCAAAATGTTTATGAGCCCATGGTGTTTTTTATATTTTGAAGTGTGTTTTAGTTAGATGGGACTTGTTCATCTGTACAAGTAAAAAGAACACTATGAATTCTAGTCCTAGATATGCAGTGGCTGGACACAAGGTGTGCATAAAAAGGTTTTTTTTGTGCTCTTTACAGCCCTCACACTACTCTTAGTGTTTAGCATTCAATGATCTCTTAAGCAACTAGTAAATATTGAAGTGGATATACCTAAAAGCTCTTATTATCACCACCCTCATAGATACTTGCCTAACACATGGTAAGTTTGGACTAAGCGAAATTTAGGATTCAAATTGTGCATACAGCAAGCTAGAAATACAATTTTAAAGATTATTGTTTAGATTTTTCTTAATGAAAATCACACACCACATCCTTTCCCCCATATACATAAAAAACAGGACGAAATTAATCTGAATGCTATGTTTATTTAAACAAAACTAAAAAACGTGTCCTAAAAATAGATAATGTACAAAATATATAACAAAGGTAAATCCATTTTCTTCAAATAAATTTGCATGGAGCTGTAGAATTTTAAATACAAAGGATGCAATTACTGGACTAAACAGCAACATTTCATGGACTGTACTGTAATGGTGCATCATATCCTAGACAGACCAAAAAAAAATAAATAAAAATGCTGAAATGCTAAAATTTAAACTAAACTTAGTAAAGGCATAGGTAAAAAAAATCGCCCAAATGTGTTGTTAGATATGGCAAACACTATAGCTGTGCACTGTGAATGTAAACCAATTTTTTTTTCCACATATTTTGGCCCTGTCTAAGTAGGCCTATATACCTTGGTAGTTTGTGATTTGTGAAAGAGTATAAAACTAGAAGAGGATATACCTTTGTAGTTACGATTCATTATATTTGTAAACAAGAAATGTTGGCGTTCCCACATATTTCTGTGAGAATCTCTGTCCATCAGGTGTTGGATCTGAAAATGCTACTTTTGACTTGGGGATAAGAGTTCCATAATCAAACCACTGCCTGCAAACAGGTTTAAAATGAAATAAAGTGAACGTTTCTTCCTATTTGGTTTCCTCTAAAACAAAAGTACTGAACTTTGATAAAAAAAAGAAATTTGTTAGATCAGCTCTAAAACACAACATATTTTTAAACTTTGTAGAAATTAAAATCAATATTGCAAATGTTAATACGCTACAAAAATTTTAAAGAAATAAGTTACCTGACACAATCTAGCAGTTTGGAGGCTATACCCGATCTGCGATTTTCTGCACTAACCCACAAACGACTAATCCCAACTGAGGCAGGCTCTGGAATTTTGTTACATCGCCATGGCCGCTGACCTCCTGATGTATCATTGACAGGTATGGTTCGATAGCCCTTGATGAAAATTATTTCATGTAAATAATGAAAATTATTAATTGGTTTTACTAAGGAAGTAGAATCTATGGGTAATTATTACTACAAAAGAAACAAGATCATTAAAAAATATATCTAAAAATCTAATAAAAAATGTCTTAAAACTGACCTGTTGAATTGGCTCAGCTACACAACAACCACAAATTCTCTTGTCTTTGACAAACATAAAAACCTGTTCAAATAAAATCATTGTCAGTTTTATACACATTGAATGCTTATATTACATCACATCAGATTTTAGCAAACGGAAGTTCACCTTTTAATAGATCCTAATTATACATGATGCATTGTTAAAATAATAAAAGAAATTTTATTATTACTTTTTGATTGTGATTACTGAAAGATGAGCTCCCATCTTGGAAACCAAGCTCTTGTCTCATCACCTGATTGACTTCATCTACCTGAGGACCATAGAGCAATACAATTCAATGTTACATTGTGTAAGATTAATCCATAAGATTTAAAAATATATACGTACATGTATAACGCTTCCCCAAAAGCAGACTGTGATTACTCTTTTTTTTCTCCAAGATTTATACATGGTTATGTTCAAATTTTACCAAGGCATCATAGCTGCAAAAATTTTGGCCCTATCACTCACCATTCTTACACAACAATTCTATTTCACCAATGCTTAAAATATAAATATTTAGGAAAACAAACATTAAAACCTCTTGTGAACATTTTTTTTAAACAATCTGTTTCTGGGAAAGCAATATATGTATGTATTAATTGTGATTTTATTTGTATTCAGTTTACCTTGATATAAATAAAACAAAGCCATAAAACTAACAGAAAAAGCTGTGTTTGTTAAATTTAAAAAAAAACTTGCTTTTACCTTTTTTCTGGCATATTTGGGATCATCATGTAAGATAAGAATAACTCGACCATCATCCATAGGATATTCTTGGACTGTTCTCTCCTTTTTCCATCCCTGAAGTGTTAGACATTTTATTTAGTAAATTATGATAATTATACTCCAAAGAGAAAAAAACCAAAGCAAGTACCACGGATAAAAACATGCACAACTTATATTATTTATTATAGAATTTAGTTCTATTACATCTTATACATCTGTATGTTATCTAAGATAGAATGTAAATAAAAAGAAATCAATATGACAAACAGCTGATTACAGAATAGGTGAAAAAAATACAACTCAACATACTTCACTATTGCAAAAGTAGATTTTTGAAATATAAAAAGCAAAACTGAATATAACTAGACAAAATATAGACTGTTGTATTCACATATTCAAAACATTCTGAGGGAAAATGAGCAAACAAGTATTTCAAAGCAACCCTCTTTGTTGCAAATATTTATTTATTTAGTACAGAATAAATTGATCAGTTTCCAGAAATATTTGTTGTTGTACATTTTTAAGTTGTGCTTATTTATCAAATGTATTGACTTTTTTTGTTGTTGAATGTTTTAACCTTAAACAGAATGACCTTTGAAAATGTTGGCTGATTTTATTGTAATGCCCCTGGTTAACAGATTAATGCAGAATCCCAAGCAACCCAGAAACCAAGGAAGACAGTAAAAAGCAACATATTCATAAACAGTGATAGATGAATCGATTCAGCAACATAAAAACAGATAATAATGAAAAGAAAATGCCTAAAAAAAAACAGGTGACATGCACAGAAAATACCAAGTAATAGACAATAGAAAGAGATAGAAACCAGATTTTTTTCCAAGGCACAAAAAATGCATTCAGTGGTGACCAATCATGGTTTCGTTATACTGCAAAATAATGAACTGTGTTAGCAGAACTTGAAAATTTTTCGAGTTAAATCTGTAGGTCTACTTTATTGAACAAAAGATAAACTGTAAATAATTCATTTGTAACAAAGTTTGCAATTTAATAACAAAATAAAAAAACAGCAACTGGAACTTTAAAAACAAGATGATAAAAAACGTACAGGAAACTTAAGAACTTCAATGTGACGTGAATGAAACTTGCTGTGTTCAGCCTCATCAGCTTTGTCAGCATGACAATAAATCATGGAGCAAACAGGGCACTGTGTTAAACCAATTTTCTTTTGACCAGCATCCTGTGAAGAATTTACATGACAGCAAAATTCAAATGCATTTTTTGAGAAATTGGAAATAGCAAAAACTGCAAAACTATGTGTACTGACTCAAGTGATTTGTCGAAAATCTCGATATCAATTTTTTGCATGATTACAATAATTCCTCTATATTTTGTAAATGAGAAAGTAATACATGCTGCTACATACTTATTTAAAAAACGTCTCTTAATGTTTGAGCCCCCTTCCCCCTCTATCCAAACTCTTATTGGATAAATAATTTTACTTAATAAGAAAATTATATTCAGGTACTATTTTTAAAATTTCTAGTTACCAAAATCATCTGTGACTGTTCATGATTTCTTGATTTAGGAGATTTTCTGAAACTAGGACTGCTAGATTTCACTGACCTACCAAAATACAATTTTAAAAACAAAACAAAAGTTAAAATTTGATGAAAGTTACTTCAAACAAGGAGACAATCAGCTTGCATTATATAGAGTGCATTTCACAAAGGTTTGTAAGAGGTAAGTTGTATTTAAACTAAAAAAGTAGCAAAATATGGCTATAAAAAAAAGACAGCAGTAAGAAGTAAAGAGAAAATATTTGTGGTAATTAAAGTAAAATAGTAATTGGTAGAAATGTTTTTAAAAATAGAACATCTTAGCAACGAATAAACTTGAAACAAGTTGAGTTACTAGACAAATAAAAGGAACTATGGTATGAAAAAAAACCCCCAAAAAAACTAACAATTTGGAATAGTTAGCAGTCTGTTCAGCTCTTTTCTGGTTAAATATGGGGAAATATTGTTCCTTTTTATCACTCTGTGGACTTTCAGTTATGTTGTTATTATTTTCCAGCGTTTCCAGGTTGTTGGATACATTCTGACTCTGGTCACTTTCCTGATCATCTGAAAAATGAAAAAAAAAAAAAAAAACCAACATATATAACAGGCTACAATTAAAAAGTAATTACTGTGTAATTTCAATCAATCCAGCTTTAAAATTACTAATCTAATACTAAAATCTAAGTGCAATATTCTTTTCAAAGCATAAAGTTTAATAACACGCTTATTTTAAAATCACAGCCATTGAAGTCTAGATACTAGTCTTTATTTAAAGAGTAAAGTTGCACAATTCCTCAGTTTTTATTGGAATTTTTTATTCATTTAAGAAAATATTGAACACACTATTTTGGGTAAATGCTAGAGAAATCTACGGTATAAATCTATAGAATAGAAAAAATTTACCGAAACTAATACCTTGCTGTAGTGTTTCACTATCATGTGACTCATTGACCTCAGTATCATGTGATTCATTGACCTCGGTATCATGTGATCCATTGCCCTCAGAAACATCAAGAGTAAAACCAGATGAGAATGTAAATCCTGATGATTTTTCAGCACTGTCTGCTGAATCATTCTTCTGCTGCCGAGTATTACAAGATTCTTCTTTACCAGTTGAAATGGTCGCTTTTCTTAAGTTATCTTTGTTTTTCTTTTTACTAAATAGAATTTTGGATTTCCAAGGAACAAATTTTGCATACAAACTTTTACCACACTGAGCTAAATTAATTTTTGAATTTTCTTTAGGTGATCTTGTTTTGAAAAACTTCTTTTCACTTGAATCAGAGCTGGTTTTTTGAATTAAACTTGTTTCTTCATGATGTAATGATTTGTCTTCAACCACATCATTTTCTTCATCACTTTCACTTTCCTCTTCTTGAGAGTTTAGCACAGATTCTAATTCATCAAGGTCTAAAGAGCCATTACTAATTCTAAAAGTTACTTTATCCCTTGTTACCGTCATCGTTTTCTTTTTTATCTCACATTTTACGGGGGATTCCGATAAGTCAGACTTTTTATTTTTTCCACCAAGTTGCCGTTCAAGAGTCTTGTACTCATCTCGATACACTTTCCTGAAATTGCTCATGGAGCAGCTCTGAAGCAGAGCTTGTTTCACAGGTGACAGAGCTATTCTCTTCGCCATTAGCTCATCAACCTGACTTGGTGAATATGTGAATGGATCTGATCGTGTGCGTTTTCTTGATTTTTTCACACCAGAATCATTTTTTTCTTTAACTTGTTTCTGCACTGAAGTTTTTGTGACCAGCTGATTCTTGTCAAGGCCATAAAACTTTTTTGGAAGAAATGAGGGTTCCCGGGAACTCCTTAACTTGCAAGACATTCTTCAATTCTTGCCTACAAGAAAAAAAAAAAAAAGGAACAATGCATGAAAAGCTGTGCATACCCAACAAATGCAGAGGATAATTAAAAATGTATATACAACAAAATGTACGGTTGTTGCCGGCGCAGAACAAAAGAGACTAATGCAATGTGATGCATTGAAAGTACAGCTTTAATACATAGGTAAAATTACCACTGAAAAAAAAAACTTACATGGATTGCAAAGCATTGGAACACTGCCAAAATTCCCAAAGATGTGTTTATAATAGAGGTGGATTAAGTACAGAAAATAGGCATTGTAAAAACGGAATAGTAGAGCCAGACTATATCTAAGTCAATTGATGCCTTTCTGGTTAAGTAGTCATGTCACCCACATTGTATCCTTGTATTGGCTATGATAGTAAACTGTCAGGAACAGTTGAGTTTTGTGGAGCTAACTGGTTTAAGACATTACATTTTTGACCTGATGCAAAGCTCATGTAGCGATTTGATGTGTGGAGAGGTGCTCAAACCCCACCTGGCTATACTGCTCCATCTTAACTATGACTATTCTCTGTATACTTCAACTGTACTTTAAGTCTAATATTGTTATTTTAGTTCCAACGCCTGCATCCACACCCCTCTACCTGCAGAACACAAATGATCCCAGATGAATAATTTTGTTCTCCATGATGGAACTAATAAAGCTCTCGACTTAATCACTAATTAATTTCAATGTTGTCCATACATGAGTCTTGACTACCACAACAGCAGCGATAGCTTTAGTTTTGCAATTTAATTGGTAACTGATGATTCCCACTTTATATAATATAATATATATAGGGCCTAATTTATAGGGCTATAGGCTATACGGCAGGAAACAGATTCAACTCTCAAACATCTACTTTTAGGGTCGATTTTCGCCAATTTTCAAAGTAACAAATATTGACATATTATATATCAATTTTGTTGCTTAACAATCGAGGAATTCAAAAATATAAAAATTAATAGCACTAGACATTTACATCACGTTCAAAATTTAGATTAACCACACTCACTCAAATGACTTTTTTTTTTTACATCTAAATGTAGTAAGGTCTAAAATCCACGAAATTCACAAAATTAACAATATAATTACACAGAAATGTCACTTAGGCATAAATTTATTTGTAATTATGTCAAACTTTACAAAATATACCAGTTTATAGCTTATTTCTATAATTATTCTTGAAAAAAAAAACGACCGCTATCCCCTTTAAAAAATGTTCAAAATTCTGGCTTTTAAAAACACTCTGGGGAAGAAAAAAATAACAGAGTTAAATATAGAGGGTCTATATAAAAAATATTATTAGTAAAATATGTCTATATGCCAATTTTTATTATAGTTGCAGAATTTACATGGCTAATTATAATTGTTTAGTACTTTATAAATTAATTTAAAGTTACGACTGTCTGTGGCCTCATTCAAATAGTGTGGTGTCAGTGAACAGGGTGTTAGGCGTTAGGGCCTGATACGATTTCATTAGAATTGGTAATGAACAGAATGTATCATTAGAACTGGCCTATAAAAACAATGTTGATGATAGATGCAGTAGTTTTAATGCTACTTATAATAGATCAAAATGACAAACATAATTAAAACCTAAGAATCTGGAAGCGGTGACCTCATTTTACTGACACGTTTGTCAAATAGTTAGTAAAATCGATCTAGATCTAGAATCTACGTAATTTTGAAAATATGCTAGATCTAGAAGCAAAATCACTTTTAAAAACTAAAGTTAGTGATTAGTTCTGTAATGAAATTGAAATCCACAGCTAATATGTAAGTATCTTTTGATTTAAAAAAAAAATACGCGTAGTTCTAAGAAAAAAAATTTTCTACGGTGTACTCGATCCCTATCCCAAAACGTGCCAGCCATATCGCATACGTATTCAGCTACTCAGCTACTTATCAAATCTTCGAATTTTAAATTTATATAATAAAAGTAGGTCACCCTAAAAAAAAGAGTACAATGGCTCCCGTTTTCACGACAGCCGTCACTCGATTCATAATTTACAGAGTTATAATGTTCTACTTTCTTTTGGCTATAGATTTGAAGAAATTTAAATTTGTTATTTCTCATGTGTTCCAACAATTGTACCTAATTTTAATAAACATTACATTAGTGAGGACTCGGTTCTTTTTAGAATTAGCCCTCGACACTATACAGACTATTGCGAAGAAACAGACTCGCGCGAATGTCGTGCGTAGGCTGGTTCAGTGGCGAAGGTTAGAAGCCAATTTGAGACGGAAAGTTTTTACTTTGAAATAATTACATTATCAATTAATTTCGATTTAAAACAAATGGCTTAAAGTCAAAAGTAAACTAACATTTAAAAACTTTGTTATTCGCAGTGTACTCAAGATTCTCGTGTTTTAAAGATAAGTCTAGTTTTACTACGTGTGCGTGCATGGTGCGAATACCGATTTTCCGCGACAGAAAATCATTAAAAATAAAAAAAAAAGTATCTACGGCAAAATAATAATTATATTTTACAGAATTAAATAGATTTAACTTAACTGTTATTTAAATACATGCTTCGGAGTAAAAAAATACAATTTTATATCCGTAAAAAATTAACTGAAATTCCCGCTTTCAGCGACGCCGATGTGTCGTAATTTTCGGCAGTCATTTTGTTCAAATTAAAGTAAAAAACGCATTCAAATATACTTTTTTTTACTTTCATAATTTACAGCAATCATTTCTAATGAAAAATCCATAAAAAAATAATAGTTATTTTTACAAAATATTATTTCTTACCTTATTAGTGCAGTACACGTACTTTCCAAGTAGATCCATTCCGTCTAGATTTGCATACTTCGCATCCTTCGCCGCGGCACAAAATGTCATAAAAAACGAATTCCACAAAAATGTTGCTAACGAAGCTTGTAAAAACCTTGCTCTATTTATCAGTATAAACAAAATCCCCGAACGATGTCTGGTTAGAAAGTTTATGAACGGCGAAGATCGAATATGCATTTTGCGGTACCAATCTGTTTCCTGCCATATAGATATATAATATATATAGATATATAATAATATGGCCTAGGCCTATATAATAGTAATATATAATAAAGATGAGGGCTAGGGTTGGCATTGACCTTTTGGCTTTTACTTTTATGTTATAATCACAATACACTAGTATTACATTTAGATTAGTCATTAGTCTGATTAGTGATTTAGCAAGTCATTGATGAATTTTGGGTAATCTATTGGTTTAAGCAGTAATATTAGTCGAGACTAGTAATCATTTAGTAATGTGAAAAAAAGGTGACTCATTAATTTTTAGTAATTATTTCACATTTTTAGGAGGATTTTGTTTTTGAAAGTTACAAAAATGTTTCAAAGTTTCATTAATGTACCTGTTTTTAAACAATTGTATTAAAACTTTTCATTAAAAAATAAAGACTAGCGATCTTTTCATCAGATGCAACCAAGTACATTTACTTTAGCAGCCAAATCTTAAGTTGTTTTTTTGGAATTATAGTAGTTAGAGATTCAGGGGAAACCATTCTAACTTACTGATGGTAGCTTTTTTTTATAGCAAATCCTGCTCGCAAACACTGCTGTTTAAAAGTTTATAAAGTTAATTTCTTGGGTAAAACTCCATTTTAGCGTATTTTATTCTCAGCTTCTTGTTTACCTCGAGTTGAGAGTATTTTATTATAATAACCGAAGCACACCAAAACATTAGGAAAACACGATTTATTTATTTGTATTGTATTTTTGCTTTAACAAATGAATAAAAAAAACAAAGAGAGTGACTGTTTTAGATTTTGATAAATTACTTTTGTCAAACTTGAGAAAAATCCAAATTTAGAATATTGAATGTGCTATGTTCGTGTGTGAGTTAGAATTTTCAAGCTAGGCCTATACATTTTTTTTTATTGATTTTGGTTTATCTATAATTATTATAGTATTAGTATAATATTTGACATAAATAATCAATATACTATATACTTAATACTTCTATTAAAGCCTTAACAATGAGGCAACTTTTTCGCACATTACAATACTTATAGTAGTTTTTAGGCCGATTCTAGTCGGAATAAGATACGCATGCGCAATGGAGAGAAACTACGACTTAGCGGCGATGTTTTCGATGGTACTGCGCATGCGTGTGTTTACAACTGCAGAACCCTAATACCAGCCCTAATCCTATCCTTAACCCTATCCCTAATCCTATCCTTAACCCTATCCCTAATCCTATCCCTAACCCTATCCCTAATCCTACCCCTCATTCTAGCCCTAACCCTAGCCATAGGTCACTGCGCATGCGCAGAACTATCTTTTGCCGAAAAATCTTATTCCGAGTAGACACTTCGTAGTTTTTATACTAGCCTCGGGCGATCTTACGCACCTCTAAAATGATTGATACTGATAGTGATAGATTACGGAATTTTGAATCACCTGCGGCTGCCAATCTAGCAAAATCTAGACTAGGGTAAAATCACGATATAGCGTCGGAAATTATTGGGTAATGTTCGTTGAGTTTCGGTAACATTCGTTACTGTAAACCATTGTTTATTTGACCGTTGGAAAGAAATAAAGTCAAGTGCATTAAATTAATGTTTTAACTTAATTTAATGTTTAACTGACAAAAATTAGCAACAATTAGTAAATCTAAATATTATTAATAAAGTCGAGTGTAGTAATTAATGTTTTTTTAAGAAACACAGAAAAAACCTGCAGAAGATTTGCGACAACCAGCTCTAGTTCTATTAGTAAAATAAGACGATTAGATTTACTAAAGTTAAAAGTAGTAAAAAGAACTAGAATAATGTTTAGTAGCAGCAATAATTAGCACATACACTTAAAATAATTAGAAATACAAAATAATTTGCAAAACAGTATTTAAAATGCAACTAAAATGAATCCTTGCACATTTTTAAACATAATGTATTAAAAATAATATGGCGGCAAATAAATGATGGCTTACGGTATTTCCGGTGGTTTCCGGAACGGCTCGACAGACTACTCCATGGTTTTACTGTTTTTTACTGCTGTACAGTTCCGGAATAATAACCGACGCTATATCGTGATTTTACCTAGACTAGATCTACTAGATCTAGATCTCTGATCTAGTCTACTTCTAGCTAGAATCTAGATCTAATCTAGAATTCTAGATCTAGATCTAGTCTAGAATCTAGATTCTAGAATCCAGCTCCATTTTATTTTAATTTTATAGAACTGAATGAAATGTTTTATTACAAGAAGTAGAGATCTCGAAATCTAGTTACCTTTTGCCAATATATGAAGACTAGATCTAGATCTAAATCAATGTTTTTGACGCTCTTTCTTTGCTTAAGTCTTTACTCTTCGCTGAATGTACAAATTTAGACTGAGTTGGTTAACCCGCCATTTCAGATTACCTCTAGAAATCTATGTACAAATAATATTGTAATTATCTCCCTTTTCCCATCTGCCAACTTAAATAATATTATATTAAATATTTAGGCCACCTATAATTAATTATCCTAGTCATGATCATGTTTTCTAGAATATAAGATCTAGATCAAAGCAATTTAACCTCTAAACGAAATGAAATTTATATAGAAAATATATACTGTAACAGTGTCCGCCCTCTCAAAGAAAGTCTACCGCCCCCCCCCCTCCGAAAATGTCAAGAGCCCCCCCCCCCCACCCCCCGGAGAAAAAAGTCTGGAAAAACACTGCTCTAAACTAGTTAAAATAAAAACGCCGCAACTAACTTTTTATTTGAAACATAAGCTTAATATAGATCTACTTCTAGATCTAGTACATCTGTTACTCCAAAATCCTACTACTAGATCTTGATCTATCAATGCTGCTAGATCTAGATCTAGAACAAGATTCTAATTCTATAACTAAAATCTAAAATTACGCAACCAGCTTGTAATGATTCGACTTTATTATTTGACGAAAATCGTCCTGATGGTGGTGGTGGAGGGGGGGGGGGGAGGCGTCGTCCAAAATGACGTCACATATTCGTCCGTTATTTTGTAACGATGTGTAATGAGGGAGGGGGGGGGGGGTCCTAAATGGTCGTGCATAAATGACGTCACACTCGTAAGGGGGAGGGGGTCCGTAATTTTGTGACGGTGCGTGATCAGTGAGAGAGGGAGGGGGGGGGGGGTTTTAGATGTGTGACGTCACACTTTTGCATTATAAAAAAACAATGTTAGAAAACGAATTTTAGCGCGTTTTAGAAAATTGTTTTAATAAACTGTAATAGCAATAGATAAAAAACTCTATGTTGAAAGAGTTCAGACAAGATTTTGGAAAAAAATTTATCGTATTTTAAGAAAAATTCAACTGCAATTTTGAGGGGGGTTGTAGACTGAGGTGTGACGTAATTTTAGGGGGAGTCTAGAGAGATCGAGGTAAAAATTGTCCAAAAAAAGCGTGACGTCATTTATGGATGACCATTTGGGGGGGGGGGGGTGAGTCCGACAAACCGCTAGAGATTGAAGATTACTATGCATTAGCTGTTTTAAAAAGGATGCAATTAAGCTTTAGGTAGAACTATCAGAATTTAATATATTTTGCTCTCCTTATTAGATTAAATCTAAAGTCTATTACTATTAGTATTTATATGTTCAAGATCTAGTTTAAAAAACCGGAGTCTCTCTCCCCCCTCTGCCCTCAAAACCCCATGTTCTAAAAATAACCTGTAACTAAGTAACCTGATAATTTTTTTAGTTTTAATCAGTTACTTAATTTTTTATTTCAATATATATCTAGACATTTTTGTATAGCTGTTCACAAATTATGTAGATCTAATATTGTAGTCAACCAATAGGCCTAGTGTCGAAATAAAAAACAACAATAAAAAAAACAACAAAAGTACTAGGCCTACAATCAGCGCATAATGAAACACACACACTTTTAATTTTAAACTGCTAAACGTTAACTAAGGCTACCCAAAACACCACCACGTGAAGTAGGCTAATCTATATTCTATAGGAAGCTTTTCTAAACAATGTAAACAACTCGATGTATTAAATATTATTTTTAGGCCTATTGGTTAGTTTACTTTTTATATTCTTTACTTTAGCGGGGGAGTTTTCTTTATAACAGTGTTCTATAGGCCCCCTACTAGAGTAGAATCCTCCTAAAAAGCGGCAGTGGAGTGGTGGTTCTGTACTCAACTGTACTGTAGTACTGTTAAGTGTTACTGTACTGTTCACTGTAGGTAGACTGTAGTGTCTGTAGTGTTGTAACTTAAACAGTTAAACTTGTTTGTGTTTGTTAAGTTAAAAAATTAAGTCGTTAGTGTTGTTGTTAGACGTTAGTGTTACTCTGTTAGTGTTACTAACAAACACAAACAAACAGTGCTGTTAGTAGATCTAGTCTGTTACTTAATACTTTGTGTTAGTCCTTGTTTCACTGTTGAAATGTTTGTTAGTTTTAGTTTATTGTTGTTTTAAGTTTTTAGTTTAGTCAACTCAGTTGATAGAGAGTAGTATGCATACTGTATAGTAATGTTATGTAGTAAAATATGTAGGATGATATTTACATTTAGAATCGACCCTTTGCCTTTGAATCCTGGGGAGAATGTTTACACAGGTGTCCAATAATGGAATCTTCTTTAAAAAAGGGGTGTTAGGTTACTGGTAGTTAACTAAATAATACACTCATGGCTGGCTAATGTCAATGCTAACCCTGTCCCTAACCCCAATCCTGGTCCACCCATACGCCTAACCCTAATTTCTAACCATAAATTAGTCGAGATTGCAATACTACTACTAACAACCTAACACCCCTTTTTTAAAGAAGATTCCATTATCGGACACCGGTATCTATAATCATCCGAACCCGGGACAGATCGCCCCCCCCCCAGCGTGGCCTCAACAAACCGGCGGGCTTGTTGCATAGAGTTAAATATAAACTCACGGAGAAAAAATGGCTTTTTAGCAAAAAAAAACGTGGTGCCTGACGTCATGATGACGTCAGCCGCAAATCAAGACGCTGAGGAAGCGCGCGTTTGATTGTTTGGCGGCGGATACTTTGAAATCTCAAAGTTTTCTCTAAATGTTTACTGATATGTAATATGTTTAATGTTTAGGTTACTCACTCTTACTGTAAAATTACTGTTACTTAAACTTAAAACTTACAACTAAAATACACCCATGTCAATGCTAACCCTATCCACCAGTATCTGAGCCTATCCCTAACCCTTACTGTACCTTATGCCCTACAGTGGCTTACAGTGACTTACACTACACTGACTACATCAACCCTATTCCGTCTATTGACTCTTGAACTATTCCTACAATCATACCATGCGCCTAACTTTAACTAACTTAACTTCTTATGATAAACTAGTCCAGATAAAAAATACGACTAACAATATTGAATATTTACATACTAACAACCCAACACGTCCTATTTCTCTAAGCCTAAGAGTACTAACCAAGGATCTCAGTCTATGCTCTATTCATCTGACATTGGTATCTACATCTAGTATCTTAAAATTTAAGTTACTCAAATTCTTAAATCATCCGTAAGCTTACTACATTGATACTGATAGTATAGTGTATAGGCCTATTCTAGTATACTATAGGTCCTATCTATAGACTATAGGCCTATAGGCTTTAAGTAATAATCCATTTTAGGCCTAGATATAGTAGAATCAGGAAAATTAGGCCTACTTGCCTAATTTAACTAATTTAATACTAAGGATTAACTTAGATCTAGTATTAAGTAATAATGGACACTATCAAGTTGACGAGAATCCTTCCATCATAGTGTTGACATGGATAAAAAACATGTTTTTTAAAATTTTGAAATCAAAGTGACAGTAAAAAAATAAAAATAAAAGTCAGATTCTAGCCAGGAAAAGTTGTGCATGTGCATAGCTCTACAATTACCTGGTTTTTCTTGTTATCTACATGTTTGTTGTTTAGGCCTATGTTTTTTCTTAATGGGACAGGGATTAATACGATAAATTTAAATAGTATATTTAAATAGATTTAAAACATTTTTTTATACTTAACTTATAGACAAGAACTCTTTGCTAGCTATACTATACATGACCCGTCCGAAGCGCAACTGCTCGACCACACTGAACAGATAGTTTTGTCAGAAGAATAAAGCTAAAAGAGTAACTGATCCAATTGTATATCTATAAAAGAATAAATTGAGTCCATTGCGCAGCTATTAATAGTATTTAATTTGAGCCCATTGTGCAGATATTTAGGTGATTGCGTTTTGTATCTTTTGCCGGCCAGATAGCACTTGGGGGAAAAAGCTTTTGTCTGAGCAGTAACTTGGAAAATAAAAACTTAAGCATAAAAATAATTTAGATATTTGAATATTTTTAGAATCAATGTTATAAAAGTTGCAAAGCCAGAGAACTTGAAAATAATTTTTTTAAGTTTAAGTTTAAGAGTTTCAGACTACATTTCTATTTTTAAGTTATAACCAGATGTTTCACTTTTGTAAGATAATTGTTGATCGATTTTCTCACAGCCCTACATATCATAGTTATTTGTGTACAAAACTTTGCAATTTAACTTTTTAAATAAAATTATGTTATTTTAAACCACCTGACCTAGTTCTGCAATTTTTTTGTTTACATTTTGTATGATACAATTTATACTAGCCAATCAGATAGAAGGATATCTTCGTTTATGTCACCATTACCACTTGAAAACCAAATTGCTTTTGCAATTTTAAAAATTAGTGTTTAATGTTAATTACAGAACGTTTAAAGTCCAAAATGAACCAAACAGTCATGATTTTATAACTATATTAATTTTAATTGCTAATATTTATTTATTACTGAAAAGTTTTTATAAAATTCTTTTAAAAACAGGTACATGAAACTTTGGTGCAACTTTTAAAACATAAATACACTAAACATTTGCGGAATAATTACTAATATTCAATTAGTCACATTTCTTTAATATTACTAACCTGCTGATTTTCCAGTCCTAAAGCACTAGATTACCCAAACATTATAAAGGGTTATTTTCTCACTGGATAAAGCAACCTATAAAAAACAATTTTGACATGATGATAGTACTACTACTACTAGATTCTATCCCATACGATAAGTTAATCATGAAAATAGTATTACTGATTGATTAGGGATATCTTGAAGTTAGCTGATTTAGTAAGCGTGTACATTATTAAAAAAACTAAGATTAATTGGTGAGTCTATCTATTTATGATCAATACATCTACGTTAACTTCAGTTAAGTGATATAATGAAAGAATTTATTTCCAATAGATTGTTATGAAAACCATTTACCTACCTTTTCTATTTTTTTTATCAACAGATCGGTTGATCACAAAAGAAAGATGGAAGATTTTCATACTGTACTAAATTATGCTGATTTTCGAATTTATAGCAAAGATGAAATATTACAGCTGAGTGTGAAAGAGATTGTTAATCCCCAAACATTTGACATCTTACAGAATCCAGTTATTGGAGGATTGTACGATCCAGCATTAGGTAGGTTTATTAAAAAAAAGTTAATAGAGACTAATTTCCATATAGTTGGTTGCACTTAACATGCAGAAAAAAAACAACAGTTTTCTGGTATAAGTGGGGATGCTCTGCCAAAAGTCCCAAGTTTGGTTCTTGTACTCCTATGCTGATGAGGTTCATTATCCAGTGATAGCAAACCATCTAGAAAAGAAAACTAAAATCAAACAAAATGTTCTTGGGTGGACTAAGACAATGGAACTTAGAAGTACATCAAGAAAGAAAGGCAGGTGGAAATCTGAGTCTAAAGGCCACATCATATTAGCATAAATACTCAATTATGCTGTAAGAAAAACAACATTGAATTTGTCTGATGATCTCCTCCAGTGTTACAATCACCAACAAAGAATACTGTGGCAATTTTCTAACAAAATGATGGTGTTGATGTCAGTTAACATAGATAATATTTTAAATGATTTAAAAAAATATTGGGTTTATGATACTGGCTATGCTTCTTGTTACAGTATTTTAATATTCTTGGGTTTAAAAAATATTGTATTTCTAGACTTTAACAAAAAAGTTGTATTAATAGTTTGAAAAGGTAATCTTTCAAAGAGCTGGAATTATTTAATCAACAGGTCCATGCCGCCAGAATGATCGTTGTGAGACCTGCGGGCAGAGCGAAAAAAATTGTCCTGGCCATTTTGGACACATCAAGCTGCCCGTCCTGCTTTTTAATCCTATGCTTTTTAAGGTTCTTCTTCAGGTTAGTTTGTTTAATCTTTAATGTGTGATTTAACAAAACCTGCTGCTATGGACACATTTTAAAATTATTTCATTAAGCATGGATATGAAAAAGAACCACTAAATATTTTATATCATAGGCTTATCATAACTTTTTTAAATATGAAGAAATTTTAATATATCTTAGTACTGAAAATAAAAAGTAAACTTATTCAATTCATCAGTTTTCAAAAAATGTGTTATTAAGATTTAAAATAAACTTATTTCAAACACTTAACTATCTCAACGGGAAAACAATTGCAGATAAAAAATTACAATCATTATCATCCAAAATCAATCAAAGCTATTGATTTTATAGACATTTTTTGTATGATATATTTTTTTTTCAGAAAATTTAATCTTTTTTATCTTTGGTCAGCTAACATGTAAAAATGAAAAGAATATTTTGGCTATTCAAAAAAATTGTGTTGGTATTAATCTCCTAAGACTGCTGCATTTCCTGTCATCATTAAAAAATATTTGTATAAATTGTTTGTTTCAGCTGTTGAAAGGCTGCTGCATGTCATGCCACCAGATAAAATTATCAGCCATCCATGTCCAGCTCTACACCTACCAACTGGAACTGTTAGAAAAAGGTTTTCTCGCACAAGCCCAGGACTTGAATGACAGGTATTTCAACACAGAACAGGCAGAGATTGTCGTGCTGCCGGAGATGAGTAACATCTTCCAGGAGATTCTAGCAGGTACTTCACCATTGTTTTACATGGCGCTTTTTGTGGTCTAGTGGTAGACAGCGGGCTTGATAACTCAAAAGTCACGAGTTAATGATTCTGGATTCAAACTGCCCCTCTTGTGCAAACCAGGTGGTTTGATACACTGAGGGAGGAAGCAAAAGCCTGGTGGTAACCCACGTGTCTAGCGGCTGGTAACATGGGTGAGAGAAATGCTGGATTCTTACCCCTGTTCTAGTCTGCAGGGCTAATAAGCAAAAGCTTGAGCTGGTACGAGAGAGAGAGAGTAAACTTAAATAACTTAAGAACACTTGGGATAAAATATTTTGTTTATATTTTTCTCCCATTGGTTGTAAGTAAAGTATAAACAGTTTAATTGTCTCATGTGGCTTGCATGAAGGGATGTCGGATAGAAACAAGTTTTTTTTTTTTACTTGAGTTGTTTTGTAGAAGAAGGAAATAAATTTCAAACTTATTTGTGTCAAAACTGAAAAAAAATTATCCTGCAAAAAAGGACGAAAACAACCATCTCTGGGTTGCTACTCAAAGCATTTTTAGTGTGAGAAAAAATTTAGAACTGTGCTTTGATGAACATCATTTTTAAAATCATTGCTTTGGTTGCCAGTCTGTAAATTTCTATAAATATTAACTACATGAACAGCATTGAAAGAATGTGTATTTTTAATAAATAGCTTCTATTCTTCAGCAATAAAATATATTAGATCCTAAAAAACTTCAAGTATATTCTCTGCAGTTTTAACCTATATCAATTTGATAAAAACTTGTAGAAAATGCCCTTTAAAAAAACTGCCTTATAGCTTATATTTAATACATTTATTTTGTTTAAAGGCACAGATAAAGACGAAAGGGTAGTCTCAAAGAATGTCAAAACTCAAATGCAAAACACAGTTCGTGCAATACTGAAAACTCTTGCCAGTTCTAAAACTACATGTATCCACTGCCACACAAGAAATCGCACATTAAAACAAGAGTACAACCGCACAATAGTTGGTGCTCTGATTGAGGAGAAACATTCTAAACGCAAATCAAAGTAAGAACCTGTGTTACACATTTTTTTCTCTTGTACTCTTATTAATATTATAAAGTAAATTTATTACAAGTTCTACCATACATTGGTTGATAAACTGATCATTTTAATAATCAGGTTTGTTTGAAATTATTTTTTAGGTCAACAAAATCCAAAAAAGGGGAAACGGAAGTTGTAGAAGATGTGGATATGGATGAGAATGCTAAAAAAGCTGATGAAGATAAAGAAGCTCCCCCAGAAGACTTGCAAACTGAAATGGATGATTTCATTAAATCCAAACACAAAAGATGTATATTGTCCCCCACAGTTGCTAAAGATCACCTTCAAAGGGTATGAAACTTTCTTATCTTTATTCCTTTTCCAATCGAACCAAATATTTTCTAAACTGTGTATAAATGAATATCACATTTAGAAAAAATTAAACCATTATTTTATTTCTTTTCTAACAGGTGTGGGAGCTGAATAAAACTTTTCTCAAAAGGCTTTTTCCTTTTCTTGGTAACGTGAAGGGCGCTGAGGTCCCCACTGATGTCTTTTTCCTAGATACCCTCCCAGTCCCACCTTCAAGATTTCGTCCAGTAAGTTTTTTCTTCATACATTTTTATATTCTTTTTTGACAAGTTATTAAATAGATATGTTTCATTTTAAACTTTATAAGAAGAAAAAATATAAACTGTGTCAATTTAATTATAAATGCTAACAAAAGCACTTATTTCAACCAGCTAAGTGTGATGAAAGAACGCAAGTATGAACACCCTCAGACTGCTAACCTTTCAGCAGTGCTGAAGGAGTGTGTGACATTGAAAGACTTACTACAAACATACACAAAGGTAGGCAGGCTCTTTTTATTCTTTTTTTGATGAGATCAACTTATTTAAAAACAAAAATAATCCTAGGCGTATTCAATTTAATTTTTGCTGTAGTACTTATTGTGTATTATTTGATTACATGCTCAACAAAAAAAAATGTTTTTGCTGCGAGTAATCTTACAGAAACTTAATTTTCAAAGATAATTCCAATGAAAGTTTTTATCTTTCAATTAAAAAAATATTGTTTCCAATCCTTGTTTTTAGCTGTTTTCATAACATTAGTGTTTCTAATTGAACAGGGCTCTACAGTGCCTGATACCATGACCACACATGTCCAGAAGTTGATGGCATCTTGGTTGAGATTACAGTCCAAGGTCAATGTTGTCTTGGACAGCGAACTGGATAAACTTTCTGAAGAAAAGTGTCCAGGTGTTAAACAGGTAACACATTTTTAATTGTTGAAGGGGAGGGGGGGCACATTATTTTTGAGTCTGCTTTAGATTAAGAATACGAAAAAAAAATATTCTACTCATTTTGTACCTTACTTACTTAAATTTTGTCACTCCCTGTGGAGTATAGGGCAGCAACGAATCTTCGCTACTCCACTCTGTACCTAGGTGTCTTTAAATATCAGTGTTTAACATTTTGCACAATACTGTTACAGATACTAGAAAAGAAAGCAGGGTTGTTTAGAATGCACATGATGGGAAAGCGTGTCAACTATGCAGCCCGCTCAGTCATCTCTCCTGATCCCTACATCAGTACAAATGAAATTGGTGTCCCCATAGTGTTTGCATCCAAGCTGACATACCCTCAGAGAGTCACACCATGGAATGTCCATCAGTTGAGGCAGATGGTGATCAATGGGCCGAACCAATATCCAGGGTAAGCAGCATGCGGTGTGCTGGTTTGTTGGTCTTTGACCATTATATCCAGTATATTATAAGTTTCACTGAGTGATATAAATTATTAGAAATTACAATAAAATTAATTTTAAAAAAGGAAAAAAGGTGGATGTCAGTGCATGAAACTCTCTTGTGTAGGAAATTCGGAAGCACTAGCGTTAGTGTTTTTTATGTACCCTGATGTTGAAAATTGTACTCATGAATGCATTGTTTCTTATTTTTTCATTTTCATGTTCTGTGAATATCTTATTCCTTTTCTTAGATGTATCATATTGTTTTATATTCAAGACCTTTTATGTATTGAGATGCATTATTTCTGTGCCATGATATGATCCACTTATTTACTATGATGTATGCTTACAGTGCAGTCAGTGTGATAAATGAAGATGGAACAATTGTAAAACTTCACCCAACTAACTCTGGTCAGAGAGAGGCCATAGCCAAACAGCTGTTGGTGCCAGACAAACAAACAGATGGCTCCAAAATGGTGGGTTTTTAAAGTCACACATCTGTTATCTTTATCATCTTATAATTCAGTCTTCAAACAATTTGTTTAGTTTTTATTAAATCATCTCATTCTCAATCATTTCTAGATATGGAGTTTATTCACCATTACTTGTGTAAAAAGAAAAACTCTTTTAGTCATGAAACTGATAAAGTAGGGAGTGTATGTAACCAGACTGTTTGGAAGGATTGTTTGATCAGCGGATTGTTCAGCTGTCTTTATTTAAACTGAGTCAGATTTCCTTCAAGGCTGGTTGGACTCATGTACATTCTACAATTTAAACTTATGCTTTCAGTTTAGTTTCTATGGGTTTTTTTTAACTCTTGATAACACAGTCTCATAGTTCTTAAATGGATTTGATCACATAAATTGTTCTCTTTTCAAAAGAATGGTTGAAAAGAATTGGTGAAAGTTCATTTAATTACAAATTTTTCTTTTGCTTGTTTGACTTAGGTTTGCAGACATCTTATAAATGGGGACTACATGATTCTCAACAGACAGCCAACTCTCCACAGGCCCAGTATGCAAGCTCACAAGGTCAGTACACATGTCTGGCTGGGTTATTGGCCTTATTACTAAATTGGGGGGGGGGGGGGGGGGAAAGAGAGAAAAGGGACTTGGTTTATAGTCCTTGTGCTGCAAAAAGAAATCTTTGCAAGTGCATACATATTTCAATTTTGCCTATTACACTGCAGCTCTGTTAAAAGTGGTTAAAATTCATGCGCTGCTTCTTAAACGTAGAATACTACTTATTCATATATGTCTCATTTTCAGCTATAATTATATCTATTGTTTTAAAATAAGAAATGAACCAAATTCTGAATGAAATATTATATTCCAGGCTCGAGTTCTTCCAAATATCAAAACCCTGAGGATGCACTACTCTAACTGTAAAGCATACAATGCAGATTTTGATGGAGATGAAATGAATGCACATTTTCCTCAGTGTGAACTTAGCAGGGCAGAGGCCTCTGTCTTGGGTAACATAGCAAATTTTCAATAGTCTTTTTAGTAGTTTGTTGTAGAGACAAAGAAATAAAGGTTCCTGAATTATTATTTATGAAAGGCAGCATTTTCATATTATGTCAGAATGTGGACACATTTTTTTGATGATTTTGTTGAATAGAGACAAAAATAAATTTAAAATTAGTGTTATAATTACAGCCCTCACAGATCATCAGTATCTTGTACCAAAAGACAGCACGCCATTGGCTGGTTTAATTCAAGATCACATGATTGCTGGAGTTGCTTTGACCATAAGAGGCAAATTCTTCTCAAGGTTACTTCACGTTTGAATTAAGAAATGCAATTAACTAAAATAATTTAAAGTAATAAATGGCAATATTTTCACTGTCATTTAAAATGGCAGTCCAAATATTTGTTTAGTTAATCCAACTGGGATGATTTTTTTATATAGCAAGTATTATAATTATTTAGTTTCTAATGCTTTTGATTTTGAATGTAGCTTAAGTGCTGACCCTAAATGCAACCTTTACTTGTCTCAGACAAGACTACTGGAGTCTGGTTTGGAGTTCCATGAATGACTGGAGTAAGAAGATGAAACTGTTGCCCCCGTCAATTATCAAACCACAGCCACTCTGGTCTGGGAAACAGGTATTTGTTTTATTTTTATGGTTTTTTTTTGTAGGAAATATCATAATTTGTGATTTACACGCACTTATAATTCATCAAATAAAAAAAAAATAGTTTTCTATTTATTTCGTATTGATGCAAGTTCTTTTTAGCGCAATTTCCATTCTGGAGAATTGCGTTTATTAACCCGTCATTTCTGGATGTATGAATGGATGTGTGTCCGCAGCTTTAAGTCGTATCTCCTCCTCAACCAAGCAATATCGAGGACTAGTCCCAAAAGCAATTATGTTAAGCAAGTTCCGAGGATGATTGTGGGCCAAAAAAATTCCCGGAATTCCTTCCTGGATTTCCCAGAAAAGCCAAAAAACCTCGAAAAAATGCAGTTTTTGGCCCATATCTCGGCAACCAGACCACTTAGCGACTTGAAACATGTACCAATAGATTCCTGCCATAATTTAGAACAATATTGCAGAAGAAAGTTTTCAAAAATATCCTTTCGTTCGGTCACAAAAATTTTTTTTGAATTAATTAAAATTTGGACCGAATTAGTAGGCATTTTTATCCAACCACACCACACGCGTCATCACGTTTAATAGCTGCGCCATCACGTTTAATGGCTGCGTCATCACGTTCAGTAGCTAGGCGCGCAATGGTTTTTAGTCATGTAACTTTATTGTAAATAAAACATGTATTTTAACCAACGGTTTTACTAACCCTGCTCTTGATTTACGCTACGACAGAGCTATTTTTAGATAACATAAGGAAATTGCGCTAAAATTGTCACTAGACTTTTTAATTACCTTGTTTATGTAACTGCTGCTGTAGATGAATGTTTTAAAATGTTACAAAAAACAAAACATGAACACGTGAAGCATAGTATTAATTTTTGGATCGCAGTAGCTTCGACTCTTGCTAACATAATTTGAATTTTTTATATACTTTGACTCAGAACATTTCCGATTAATTAATCTATTGGAGGTGTACAAATCCATCACATATGAAATATTCAATGCTGGATAGTGTACATCAGTTTATTTTGTTTCAGATTATAAGCACTATTTTGCTGAACATAATTCCTGAGGGTAAAGGGGCCATTAATTTAAAAGGAAAAGCCAAGATTTCAGAGAAGGTATTATTTTAATTTGTCTGTTACCTTGCGTAATCTTATTCTGTTTTGTGAATAGTTTTCCATTGCTCATTTGCTCCTACTAGGACATCTGCTAGAAACCCTATTCAGATACTGAACTAAAGGAGATAACAAAACAATGTTTGGTTTAAATTATTTTTAAATACTTTAATCTTTTTAATTATTGTTATAATTAACAAAATATATTTTATAAAATGAAGAAATATTTCAGCTTAAAGAAGATGTATAGTCTGATCTGTTTCTGTAGTATTTATTACTTAATACTATGTTAGCGGTGAAAATCTATTTAGATATCTATTTTGAAAAATTAAATTTAAAAAGCCTTGAAAATACCAGTCCCAACTGTTTTCTGTAATGTTGAGATGGAAGCACAATGGGCATGTCGCTTTTGGTCACAATAGTAGCAAAAGTCTTCACAAAATCCTCTTAAATTAGCGGGAATTTATGTCCGTCAGTTTTTAAAATTTATCTGCAACCCCCCCATTTAGATCTAGCAGTAGTGTCAACAGTATTTCCAGAAAAAGTTGTGAGATATGTGGCAAACATAAAATAGTTAAAAAAATAAAACATCATATGATTTCAGAGCTGGATTAGGTCTGAACCGAATGGATACAAGCTTCCAATGAATCTACCCCCATTTGACTCTGAATTATTGGGTGAAAGTACTGTGGTTATTCGTCAAGGGGAGCTACTACAAGGTGTTTTAGACAAAGCTCATTATGGCCCTTCATCATATGGTCTTGTACATTGTTGTTACGAGGTAGGTAAAGTGTACAGTTATAAATTTATAGCCTGTGTTTTATTGATAAAACCATCATGTTGCTGTTAGTGGTGATTTACTCACTGCATCTGCTCCAAAGCTTGGAGAGATGTGGGGGCTTACAATGACTTAGATATTTACTCCTTCAACTGAGTTTGAGGGGGCGGGGGTGTAATGGTGGCACATTATCCCAACTGCTTTTGCATAACTCTACTGCTTCTACTCCTCAGCTGTATGGAGGTGATGTAGCTGGACAGCTGTTGACTTACCTAGCCAGGTTGTTTACATCTTATCTTCAAATGGTCGGCTTCTCACTGGGTGTAGGAGACATTTTAGTGCAGAAAAAGGTATTTATGCATTTGTTTTACCATCAGAAAAAGGTATTTATGCATTAGTTTTACCATCAGAAAAAGGTATTTATGCATTAGCTTTACCATCAGAAAAAGGTATTTATGCATTTGCCTTACCATCAGAAAAAGGTATTTATGGATTAGTTTTACCATCCAAAAAAAGTAGTTATGCATTAGTTTTACATTCAGAAAAAGGTATTTAATCAATTAGTTGTACGTTCAGAAAAAATTATTAAATCATTAGTTTTACCATTAGAAATAAGTAATTGATCATTATCAACCAACTAAATTAGCCATCAGAAAAAGTTACAGGTGCATTTGTTTTAATAAGCCATTATTGACATTAGAAAATGGAATTTAAATATAGATTTTAACCAGCTAGTCAAGATACTACCTTGTAGTAGTCACTTCTTATACACGTCAGACTTTGTTTTGTGTAATCTTTTATTTTACTATCATATCAATTAATACTCAAAAATATTTTTTCTGTTTGAGGTTCTAATATTTTTTTTACATTATTTCTGTCAGGCTAACAAGAAAAGAACGCATTTGATAAAGAAGTCCCAACATGTGGGTAAAGATGCTGTTTTGAAAGCTCTAGGTATGAACTCCGAGAACAACGAGTTAGAGTTGTTGACAGAGCTGAAGAGAGCTCACTTTGAGAAGGACGGTTTGAAGATGGCTGAGGTAGACATGTGCATGAAGACAGAGACAGATCGCATTCAAGATAGTATTTCCAAGTAAGATTTCCCAAACTATGTGTTTCCAAGCAAATCTTCCCCAAGATAGTATTTCCAAATTAGTTTTCCACCAACAAGATATTTCCTAGTAAGTTTTTCCTCACAATAGCATTAATATTTTTACTCTTGTAGACTTTAAAACTGTACTTGTTATAAGTTATACCACACACAAAATTTGTCTGTTTCATCTATAGTTACATTACTATTTACATTATGCTAATTAGCTTTATTTAAATTTAGCTTTTTAACTTTTATTCCATTATGTATTTATGATAAGTGTTAATTTTTTTATGACTCAGGATTGAAAAGTTCTGTTTGTAATAACTATCAGAAAATAGTTTAAAGCTCTTCCATAATTATTTAAAAAAAAAATATTACACTAAAATGTCACAGCCACCTCAGAAATAAAAGTAAAACTTGATTTAAAAATCACATAGAAGTGGTTGAGGCTTTTTTATTCTCCAACTACACAGCTGAAAAAATATTTGATTATAAAATCCTGGTACATAGGCAAAGAATTAAGTAAACAAATTAGACTATGGGCATTTTTTTTAAAAAGTAAAAAAAAAAGTAATTACAATCTTTTTACTTTAAAGATCTAAAAAACTTTCCTAGACATTTGATTCTGCTACTTATATAGAAATCTCATCCTAAATAAAAAAAATTCTCTTCTTAGATTCATCATGGCAGGCAGGCTAGAGAAACAATTTCCAGAGAACAGTCTACAGCTCATGGTGCAATCTGGAGCTAAAGGCTCCCCTGTAAGTTACAATTTTCTATCAGCTCGTAACAGCTTTAGTTAGCCACCAGTGGCATAACACAACCAATAGGGGTGTAACTTGACCACCAGTGGCATAACTTGACCACCAGTGGCATAACACAACCACTTGAGGCGTAACTTGACCACCAGTGGCATAACACAACCACTTGAGGCGTAACTTGACCACCAGTGGCAAAACACAACCACTAGAGGCATAACTTGACCACCAGTGGCTTAACTTGACCACCAGTGGCATAACTTGACCACCAGTGGCATAACTTGACTTATGGAGGACTGCACTCATCATTTAATGTTTGATAACCATGTCTAAATGATACAATTATTCCAAACAAAATATTTCACCCAGCTCCTATTTGTACCCAATAGGTGAACTGCATGCAAATTTCCTGTCTACTTGGTCAAATAGAGTTGGAAGGTAGGAGGCCGCCCCTGATGTTGAGTGGCCGATCTCTGCCCTCATTTCAACCTTACGACGTCTCTCCCAAGGCTGGGGGTTTTGTTACTGGCCGTTTTCTCACTGGGATACGGCCCCAGGAGTATTTCTTTCACTGTATGGCTGGGAGAGAGGCAAGTAGCTGTGGCGTCAATACCATGTTGAAATTATACAATTGTTCCTTGATGTTTGTCAGTAATTCAGTAAATCTAGAGTGCTTATTATAATTTGTTAAATTATACTTAAGTAATTAACACACAAAACTTGATAATATTGATAATAAACAATGCTAACGGTGTAAGATTTTATTTATTATTTTTTTTTGTTGGAAATTTATTTTCTCTGCATGCATTTGATGCAATTTGTTGTTTGAAATTTTCTGTTCTTGTTGATCAGGGTCTGATAGATACAGCTGTTAAAACCAGTCGTAGTGGCTACTTACAACGTTGTCTCGTCAAACATTTGGAAGGTCTGATGGTCAATTATGATTTGACTGTCAGGGACAGCGATGGAGATCTTGTTCAGGTTTTTAAGTCTTTTTTTTCGGCCTTGTAGTAAATATTTTATGTTTAGGTTTTATAGTGTTGTGATAACTTGATTCCTCTTGTTTCATCTGTAGCTGGTAATAACTCGGATAAATGAAAACAAATTTAAAAAAAAAAGCTGAAAAATGTTTTTGATTGCTTTAAAGAAATTTTTTTTAAGCTGAGTCTACCCAGATGGGTACCTGACTCTCATTAAGGTTAAAAGGTGGCCGGGCATAGAGCTTATTACACTATCCCCCTGTATGCCAAGGTCATTGAAACAGATAAACTCGACTTCATCTGCTTCATATGTCTTCGGCATGAATGGAAAAAAAAAGCTGAAACTATTCTTTAAGCCATATACTAATAAAAAAGCTTTAAACACAAGTTTCTGTTCTTTACCAAGCTTGATTCATATAGACATTCATGAATGTACCCAACTCTGTTTGGTAACTTTAGTTATGAGAAAGTAAAGTTGGTTGGGTATGGTGCTGAGCACACAAAATACCCAAGATGCACAAACATGAACTACTAGTACATCTGTCAGTAAAGGGTAATTTTATATAGACAGTAATTAGAGCAGCACTTATGAAGGCTGGGGCTTGATGAGATGATCCTGTTTGATCTGATTACAGTTCTACTATGGTGAGGATGGCCTGGAGCCTATCAGGAGCCCCTTCCTGAAGCCGGCCCTGTTTCCTTTCCTCACAGAAAACCTGCACGTCCTCCTCAACAACTCTAGTAATCCCTGGAATAGCACCTCACAGAGAAAAGAAATACAACACACATGGAAGAAGGTACCCATCACTTTTTTCTTGTCATTACAATAAGTTCTTCTGGTGTCATGGAGATAGCACCATCAGGACTTGATTGTATACTTGTGCAGTTGTTTCCATGATTTTTTAATTTTACTCAAAATCAGTGATGTTAATTTAACTTTTTTTTAGATAATTATTTAATTGGACAAAACCATTCACTGATACACCTGACTGATCTAAGCTAAACCACACTATCTGGCAATATAAGACAAAACAGACAAGACACAACAGACAAGACACAACAGACAAGACACAACAGACTAGACACAAGACACAACAGACCCTGATCAGACACACACCACCGGATACGACATTAACCCAATCTGACAAGACATAGACCATGTTCAATTTTTATCAAATTAGTAATTTTGTTGTTAGAATGTAATAGTGTGCCAAAATTAAAAATGAATTAAGGTATATTATTATGCCGCAACTCATTGTTAACTATTTGGTGCTCAGTTCTGTTTTCACATGAGGGAATTATAAAAAAGATGTGATTTTCTTACATTTGAGCAGATTTAATTTACACATCTCTAAATCAATAAGATTTTGTAAATTTGTTTTTACCCTTTTCAAGATAGGCAAATGGCGAGCAAAAACCAAAAAACTTGCTCTTTGGACCTATAGAAACAGTCAATTTCTGGAGTTTTGCCAAAGTGAACATGCTCCATCTGTGTCTAAAAAAGATAAAAGGAAAATCATCAGGGAAGGAAAGTTTATTGGGAGATCTGTGGCGGCCCAGATGTTGTGCCAGGCTTGGGAGCAGCTGGACGTGGAGGTCAAAGACAGGTAGGTGGTGGACAGCTGGTGTAGGTGTATCTTGTTATATGGTCAGTGTGGTAAGGGGTGGACAACTGGTGTAGGTGTATCTTGTTACATGGTGATTATGGTAGGGGGTGGACAGCTGGTGTATCTTGTTACATGGTCAGTGTGGTAGGTGGTGGACAACTGGTGTAGGTGTATCTTGTTACATGGTATTTGTGGTAGGTGGTGGACAGGTGGTGTATGTTTTGTTTTATGGTGCTTGTGTTTGTGGTAGTGGGTGGTGTAGGTATATTTTTGTTTCATGGTGCTTGTGTTTGTGGTAGGGGGTGGACTGGTGGTGTAGGTATATTTTGGAACTTCTATTTAGGTGTTTGACAGGTAGCATTGGTATATTTTGTTTCATGATGCTTGTATATATTTGTATCAAGCTTTAATGAGTGCATGTTTTACGAGTCTGAGACTAAAGTGAGTGAGTATTTTGTTGAATGAATTATGATAGTACTCAATTATCTTGAGATACACATCAGATGTTTAAAACCCACATTTATGTTTCACCATTACGTACACATATATTGAGCATAAATCCTCTTTGTCAAAATTAGTTCTCTATGTGTGTGGAGTTTTTTTTTTTTAGCTCAGCACCAAAATTGTATTCAGAAAACTTAAAGCAATTTATTCTTCCCTGCCTGTTGTTAAAAAAGAAGAATATTTTGTTATCCATTTTGTTTTGTCTTCTAGCATTGCAGATAAAGAATTCTGCCCAGACCCACTGATGGCCAGGTTTTTCCCACACTCTCAGCCAGATATCATGGCAGAGAAATTTCGCCACCTACTCAATGTGTTCTGTAAAAAAGGTTTTCAGCAGGTTAATATGAACTTTGACTCTCCTAAACAGTGACTTTAACTTTGTGGATATTGATTTTTTTTTTCTGATTGCTAACATGCTGTGTTTGATTAATTATTGTAATACATGTCTTTTTATTTCCTGATCAAACCCTATGTAACTTAGGAAACATTCAGGTTTTAATTATTGTTGACTTTTAAAAGTTTTATTGTCCAGATTTAGCACTTAAATTTTATTTAAATTGAATTGTTTGAATTTCTTTTTTTACTGTCAGGTTGTTGCACAGAACTCACAGATAGACAACCCTGATGTTTTTAAGCTGGCCATCAACAGGAAGTTGATACAGTCCCTTGCCCAGCCTGGTGAAGCTGTGGGGTTAATCTGTGCACAGGTAATGTCCAGGTGTTTCTCTGGTGTCTTTGTTTGCAATGGTGTCTTTGTTTGCAATGGTGTCTTTGTTTGCAATGGTGTCAGCTGCTGTGTGGGATGGTGTCTGTGTATGATGGTGTTTTTGCAATGTGTCAGCTGCTGTGTGGGCTGGTATTCTGGTGTGTGATGGTGTCTGTGTGTGATGGTGTCTTGGTTTGCAATGGTGTCAGCTGCTGTGTGTGATGGTGTCTTTATTTACAATGGTGTCTGTGTGTGATGGTGTCTTGGTTTGGTCTGTTGTCTTTCTGTGTGCTGTTTTTAGCCTGTATACTGTAGCAAGATTCACTCTGTCTTTAGTCTTTATCCTAAATAACTGGTTTCTGTATTTGCTGTTTTCTTACCACTCCCAGCCTATAGTTTCTCTGATGTTTTCTTCTTACCACCTCCAGTCTATAGTTTCTCAAATGTTTTCTTACCATCTCCAGTCTGTAGTTTCTCTATTTGATGTTTTCTTACCACCTCCAGTCTATAGTTTCTCTATTTGATGTTTTCTTACCACCTCCAGTCTATAGTTTCTCTGTTTGATGTTTTCTTACCATCTCCAGTCTGTAGTTTCTCTATTTGATGTTATCTTACCACCTCCAGTCTATAGTTTCTCTATTTGATGTTATCTTACCACCTCCAACTTATAGTTTCTCTATTTGCTGTTTTCTTACCACTTCCAGACTAGTTTCTTAAATGTTTTCTTACCATTCCCAGTCTATAGGTGAGCCATCCACCCAGATGACACTGAACACATTTCACTTTGCTGGTCGAGGTGAGATGAACGTCACCCTGGGTATCCCCAGGCTGAGAGAAATTTTAATGACAGCCAGCGCCAACATCAAAACTCCGTCCATGGATGTCCCCGTGGCGGATATACCTGATGCAAGAAACAGGGCGGAGAAGTTGAGAAGATATTTCAACAAGGTTACGTTAGACCAGGTGAGTGGTATTTTAGGGGCAACATCTAGAGATATCAATAGGGTGGTTAGTAGGGTGTTGTTCAGAGTTGCAACTGTTGGTGGCAAACATGGTGGCAACAAGGGTGTCTTTAAGGTGTCAGATTGGGTGACACCTAGGGTGTTATCTAAGATTGTATCTAGGGTGGCAACTTGGGTGTCAGTGAGGGTGTTACTTGGGTATCAGGTAAGGTGTACTAAGGTAAACTTATTAATTATTCTTAAACATTTTTGTGTATATTTTTAAGTTGTTCAATTTCTTTTTTTGCTGATTCATTAGGTACTTGAGTATGTGAAAGTAAAAATTTACACAAATAGTCAAGACCATCATTTGTAAGTGTTTTTTTTAAAATCTGAATCTTACATTTAAAAATGTGTTTAGTTTTCATTTGTAAAATTTAAATTCCAATATTCGACTAACTTAAATTATTTAAATTTTGTTATTAATTTGAAAACTGGGAAATATGAGGTAATATAAAAATTTCCTGTGTGTGTAGGTCAGAAAATTAGATAAATGGACAGGAAATATAAGTAAAGGGCAGGCATTGTTTTTAAAAATAAAGTATAAGATTTAATGTAGCATCTGACAAGTTGTGAGACTGCGTCTAGTCTAGCTAGTTGTAGTGGTCACGTGTTGGTGCAAGCAATAAACAGGACCTTTTAGTGAGGAATAGGATGGATACAGTTAGTCAATCTACTGTGGGAACCATGTGTCTAAAGACATTAGCATAAAAATAGTTTCATTTATTTAAAGATTTTTAAATAGTTTACAAATCTTTTCCTGAAAAGTTTGTTTAATCTTATTCAGCTCTTGATGACTTGATGCCTTTTTTTTATTTTTGCTAAATTCTAGAAGCAACTACAAATTGTTTGACGTCAAGTTCAAATTTCTGCCTCACCGTGACTACTGTGAGATGACAAACCTCACCCCCAAAATGTTGGTCAGGTACATCGCCAAACATTTCCTGGGTATGGTGGACCATGGCATCAAGAAAGAAAACACTGTTTTAGAGAAGGCAGCGTAAGTTATTTTGTGTTTACAGTTTTAAAAGGTGTCAGCAGGTGTGTAGTAATCACCTGCAGTTTATATGTTAGCAAAAAATGAAATGAGAAGAATATAATGACTTGATACATTAGGAGGAGTTTGAAGAAAACCCACCCATTGTTTGTAGTGTTGTAATCAACATATTAGGCTTTTTTAAGCAGTTTTTGCTGTTCTTGAGGCATGAGTAATGGGATGTTTTTTCTAGCACAAAATAATAAAACAATTACTACTTAAATGAAGTATCTAATCAGATTTCCTCTCTTTATTTAAGCAATTTTTGAAATGAGGTGTTATCCCTGTTCTAGAATGTTGTTTAGTCAAGTTTAAAAACCTGGTCTAGTTAAAAAACAATTATCTAGTTTAAAAAAAAACAAACTGGTCGAGTTTTAAAAACCCTGGTCTAGTTTTAAAAAACCTGGTCTAGTTTAAAAAACCTATAATTTTTTAGGCTGTTGTCAAGTGGCAGAGTTCGTCGTGGGGCAGATGAAGAGACAGAGACAGACAAAACAAATAATAAGCCTGATGATGAGGATGATGATGATATTGTGGATAATGAACCAGGCGATGGAGACTCGACGGCTGTGAAAGAACAGCAAAGACACCTGGACACGCAGGAGTATGAGGGAGAGGAGGAGGAGATGAAGGAAGTTGTCACTGAAGGTTGGTGGTCAGGGCAGGATCACTGGTTGGTGGTGTCAGTGGTCTGGGTGTGGTGTAAGGTGTCTAGGTGTCGTGTCAGATGTCTAGGTATGGTGTCATAGGTCTAGGTGTGGTGTCAATGCAGTGGTCTAGGTTCGGCATCAGGTGTCTAGGTGTGGTGTCAGTGGTCTAGGTGTGTTGTCAATGCAGTGGTCTAGGTGTGGTGTCAGTGGTCTAGGTGTGGTGTCAGTGGCCTAGGTGTGGTGTCAGTGGTCTAGGTGTGGTGTCAGTGGTCTAGGTGTGGTGTCAGTGGTCTAGGTGTGGTGTCAGTGGTCTAGGTGTGGTGTCAGTGGCCTAGGTGTGGTGTCAGTGGTCTAGGTGTGTTGTCAATGCAGTGGTCTAGGTTTGGCATCAGGTGTCTAGGTGTGGTGTCAGTGGTCTAGGTGTGGTGTCAGTGGTCTAGGTGTGGTGTCAGTGGCCTAGGTGTGGTGTCAGTGGCCTAGGTGTGGTGTCAGTGGCCTAGGTGTGGTGTCAGTGGTCTGGGTGTGGTGTCAGTGGTCTAGGTGTGGTGTCAGTGGCCTAGGTGTGGTGTCAGTGGTCTAGGTGTGTTGTCAATGCAGTGGTCTAGGTTCGGCATCAGGTGTCTAGGTGTGGTGTCAGTGGCCTAGGTGTGTTGTCAGTGGTCTAGGTGTGGTGTCAGTGGCCTAGGTGTGTTGTCAGTGGTCTAGGTGTGGTGTCAATGCAGTGGTCTAGGTTTGGCATCGGGTGTCTAGGTGTGGTGTCAGTGGTCTGGGTGTGGTGTCAGTGGTCTAGGTGTGGTGTCAGTGGTCTAGCACTGTCACTGGTCTAGGTGTGGTTTTAGAGAATTGATAAACTCTACTTCGTATGCCCCAGAGACTCTCTGGTCTGAAAGGGAATTATTTTGATTATTTACAATTTTTATTTTTGTTTTCATATTTTTATCTTTATTATTTCTAAAATAAAAATAAAACAATTTCAAATTTTAAAAAATTGCAGAAAATGAAGAAGAGGAAGATGATGAGGAACCAAACCAAGCCAATGATAGCAGTGATGAGAGTGGAGATGAGTCTCAAGCAGCTGATACCAACACTGATCTCATGTCTAAGGAAAACAAGGAACTTGTGACAGAGGTAAAGGCTAGATTGTTATATGTAAGGGCTAGATTGTTACTAGTTAGGGCTAGATTGTTACTAGTTAGGGCTAGATTGTTACTAGTTGGGGCTAGATTGTTACTAGTTAGGGCTAGATTGTTACTAGTTAGGGCTAGATTGTTACTAGTTAGGGCTAGATTGTTACTAGTTAGGGCTAGATTGTTACTAGTTAGGGCTAGATTGTTACTAGTTAGGGCTAGATTGTTACTAGTTAGGGCTAGATTGTTACTAATTAGGGCTAGATTGTTACTAGTTAGGGCTAGATTGTTACTAGTTAGGGCTAGATTGTTACTAGTTAGGGCTAGATTGTTACTAGTTAGGGCTAGATTGTTACTAGTTAGGGATTTTTTAGTTAGGGCTAGATTGTTACTAGTTAGGGCTAGATTGTTACTAGTTAGGACTGGATCGCCACTCCAGTAATAGTAGATTGTCATGGTAAGGGCTTGATGGTTACAAGTCAGGGCTAGATTGTTTAAGTTAGGGCTTGATTGTTAAGGTAAGGACTAAATTGTTAAGGTAAGGACTAGATTGTCACAAGTTAGGACTAGATTTTCAAACTAAAGACTTGATTGCTACATCCACTTAGTGGTTATAATATGACAGTTTGGATTAGTTTGTTAATGAGCTGGGGGACAAGATTGCTACAAACAAGTCTGAATTTGTTGGGGCCTGTTTAGCCACAAACTCCAAGCCAGGAAACTCTGAACATTTCATGTTTGTACCATCAGATGAGTCTTTGTAGATCAGCTGCTGTATTTGAGTACAGCTGCAGTGGGAAACAAAATGTTTACAAAAACTGTTGTTAGTTATTAATATTCTTTATATTTTTTCTATTACTTGCCTAAATGAACTGATTTTTGGTACAATGATTTTTTTCCCCAGGCACTCTCCCGTGATTTTGTGCATGAGTTCAAACTGGATGACAAAAGAATGAGGTGGTGTACAGTCACATTTATGGTAAACATTTTTCTACTGCTTGAACTGCTGCCTGCTTGTTATATGGTTAACTGTGGTGGTTATACGTTAAGCTTGCAACATGACTTTATTTGATAATGGGATGTGTCCCATTTTGTTTTTTGGATGCATGGCCAGTCTTTTTCTTGTTTAACACGGCCCAAACTATCTTTATTTGATATGGCCGTTTTTCTTTGGTTGATATGGCCCAGTCTGTTTTTGTTTGATATGGCCCAGTCTGTCTTTGTTTGATATAGCCTAGTCTGTCTTTGTGTGATATGGCCCAGTCTGTCTTTGGTTGATATGGCCCAGTCTGTCTTTGTTTGATATAGCCTAGTCTGTCTTTGTGTGATATGGCCCAGTCTGTCTTTGGTTGATATGGCCCTGTCTGTCTTTGACATGGCCCAGTCCATCTTTGGTTGACATGGCCCAGTCCATCTTTGGTTGACATGGCCCAGTTTGTCTTTGTTTGATATGGCCCAGTTTGTCTTTGTTTGATATGGCCCAATTTATCTTTGTTTGACATGGCCCAACCTTATCAAATGACCTTGACTTGTATTTATCTGTGATCCCTGCCCTTCCTTACATTATGACCAGAGTCTTGGCCCAACCTTATCAACTGATCTTGACTTGTATTTATCTGTGATCCCTGCCCTTCCTTACATTATGACCAGAGTCTTGGCCCAACCTTATCAACTGATCTTGACTTGTATTTATCTGTGATCCATGCCCTTCCTTACAGTATGACCAGAGTCGTGTGCAGCTGGACATCAGGATGTTGCTGGAGAAGTGCATCAAGAAGGCTGTGCTGCACCAGGTCAAAGGAATCACCCGAGCTTTTCTCAATGAGGAAAAAGAGAATGGAGAAACTGTCTTACACTTAAAGACTGAGGGAGTCAACATGCAGGTCAGTCATCAGCTTGGCCTGGTTCAACTCATTTGTAGTGGTAGCAGTTTTTAGCAAGTAAAAGCTGGTGGCCCATGGGGCAGGTAGAGTTTTTTTTGTGATCAGGCATATGAAGGGATAGTGTGTTCAGCCTTAAGTCCAGCCACCTTTACCTTCCCTAATGTAAGTGAGGTACCCATCAGAGTTGGGTGGACTCAGGTAAATGCTACAACTCTAGCCAGGGACCCGAACTCGAGGCTTTCTGGTTAGCAGTTGAACAGTCTACCATTCAACCACACTGTCCCAGGTAACAGTTATGACGTAGGTGTTATCTCAAGCAGCTGGGCAGGAGTGGGCTTGGCTGCTAACTCCAAGAATTCTGAAATAGAACCCCGGACAGTTGAGGTTTGTTTGCTGGAGAGAAAACTCCAGTATTAAACTACTCTGCCAGATTATTTTTTTAGTGGAAAATCAAATCCAAAAAGAAAAACAGACTGCAGTCGGATTCAACAGGCCATATGGTGCTTAACATGTTGATAACACTTCAATGTTAGAGGAAATACTCATCAATATTACAATTAGGAACAAAGAAGAAGAATGATGGAGAAAAGGTAGATGTTTTGTTCCGGACTAATTATTCATTTAACTTTTGCCATTGCAGGAGCTGTTTAAGTATCCAGATGTCCTTGACCTGAGAAGAATTTATTCCAACTGTATTCACACCATGCTGAACACATATGGGATAGAGGCAGCCAACAGAGTTATTATCAAGGTGAGTCTTAAAAGCTGTTATGTTAGTGCTGTTGTGGGGGGTGGGATGAGTTGAGGGTGGGGGGGGGTAGACATGAGGGGGGGAGTGTAGATTGAGGGTTAGGTTAGACTTGAGGGCAGGTTAGACTTAAGAGGGCATATTCATATTAAAAAAAAATATATGCTGCCCCTAGCCACCCCTCTGCAACTTATGGGGTGCCATGTATGCATAATGTTTGAGAAAAACCAATAATTTGGGATTAATTTTTTTTAAAATTGGGAACTTTCATCCACATTTAGTTCAAAATTAATGATTAGATACTTTTTTTAAATATAAAATAATTTTAAGAATGATTATTTCAAAATATTCTCATCACTTTTATAAACTTTTTTTTCTCTTACAAAATAAATATTCTTATTTTGTCTTTTAAACATATCTTTTTACATCTGATAAAATAGTTACTCCTAATATAATTTTACCATGAGTTTTAAGTCTTAAAAATGTGAATGAATTAACTCCCCTTTTGTTGTCTCACCCAGGAGATCCAGAATGTGTTTGGCGCCTACGGCATCTTGGTTGACTACCACCACTTATCTCTCCTGGCCGACTACATGACCTGCAGGGGATTCTACGACTCGTTCAGCAGGAGAGACATATCCTACAACACCTCACCCTTCCAGAAAATGACATTTGAGACCACCATGGCCTTCCTGCTTGAGGCTTGTGTGTCTGGTAGTCCTGACAGTCTAAAATCTCCCAGTGGCAGTTTGGTTGTTGGAAATGTTGTTGGAATAGGAACAGGATGTTTCCAAATTCTGGACCCAGTATCTAAGAAAGAGAGCTAACTCTGGTGTTAAACTTTTTTCCTGTCAAGCAAAGGACACTAGGATGAAACATGAAAAAGGCCACTAACTCTTGTATGAATGGTTATTTTTATTGGATTTCTTTTTTGCATTTGTTTAATGACTAGTTTTAAAAATGTATATTTAAAAAAAATGATCTGCATAACTGTTAAGCTATTTTAATTTAAGAAAAACTTAATAGCATTTATGTACAATCCAATGTTATTGAAATTAATTTGTTATTAAAATTTAAATTAAGACAGAACTAGTTCTTACACTTGATGATGGTCTTTATGCCAGTTAAAAGTATGGTGTTATGAGTAAGTTTTTTGGCTCTGTGGTGTTGTGGCTCTGTGGTGTTGTGGCTCTGTGGTGTTGTGGCTCTGTGGTGTTGTGGCTCTGTGGTGTTGTGGCTAAGTTTTTGTCTCTGTGGTGTTGTGGCTAAGTTTTTGTCTCTGTGTTGTTGTGGCTAAGTGGTGTTGTGGCTAAGTGGTGTTGTGGCTCTGTGGTGTTGTGGCTCTGTGGTGTTGTGGCTAAGTTTTTGTCTCTGTGGTGTTGTGGCTAAGTTTTTGTCTCTGTGTTGTTGTGGCTAAGTGGTGTTGTGGCTCTGTGGTGTTGTGGCTAAGTGTTGTTGTGGCTAAGTGTTGTGGCTAAGTGTTGTGGCTCTGTGGTGTTGTGGCTAAGTGTTGTGGCTAAGTGTTGTGGCTAAGTGTTGTGGCTCTGTGGTGTTGTGGCTAAGTGTTGTGGCTCTGTGGTGTTGTGGCTAAGTGTTGTGGCTTTGTGGTGTTGATCCAAACTCATTTAGGGCCCAAAACAATTCAGTTTCAAATTTTTCTTGTAATCCGCCGACCTTTGTGAAAAAGTGAAACAAATCTGGCTTGCAGGTAAAGAGTAGGCCTATATGTTTAGAAAATTGATGTTTGTAATGGTTTTTCTGTGTTCATTTTATCACACTGTTTTAATATAATTTTTTAATCAATTATTTTCTAATACTATGTCATGCGACTCAGCTCTCATCGTCACAATCCAAGTGACGGACGTCCTAGGCGCATGAAATAATGTACGGGTGCTCAAACATTTCTTATCCTTAGCCTCAGCCATAAAAAGTTCCTCTATATTATCCGTCAACACACAAACACATTATTACAGTCAAAATGCCCATACTTTTGGCGTTATCAGACTTAGAAGTTAAAATACGTTATTCCAAAATTACTCTTTTTATTTTATTTAGTTTAATACCATCAATAAACCCGCTTCCTAATTATTGACAATTTGTTTTTAAATATAAAGAATAGTCTTACCTTCGCTGTATAGTTACATTAGTCAAGTAAATTACAATACACAAGTAAATTAACTGTAAAAGCGTAAACAAGTATATGGGCATACTCTTAGTATATGGGCTTTTGAATTATTAGATCTATTAAAATTACAAACGATTTTTTGCTCCTTCTGTCGATAAAGTAGTCCTGTCCCTGGACTAAACACAAAAAAAAAAGGATTTACTGCTTCCATTTTTTGCTATCGGTTTCACTATCTTTTTTTTGTTACCGCGATTTTACACGGTCAGATTAATTGTAAGCGAAATGAGGGTGGTACGAATAGCCGTGGTATGAATGACCTACTTCTATCCTCTTATTAACATATTGCCGCATTCGACAGCCATTAAAAATCTCATTGTTTGAAAAGTAAAAAATAAATAAATTAAAAAAAATAGTACTAAAATAAATAAATACCTTTTAAAAAGGTATTTTAATTATTTATTAGCACAGCGTATAATAATATTATAAAGGTATTTATATTTTTCTTTTGATCAAAGCCCATCGTTAGACACCCAACCATTGATAATCAGATGCCACGCCCAGCCTTGTGGGCAGTTGACTTAAACTAAAACATGTGCTAGGCCGAGTTCATCATTTGCTTTCGCAAGGATTCTGTATCACCTTTTTTCTAACAGTGCGCGATAGAATACCCTTTTTTATAAGAGGAAACCACTGACCCAGTAAACTGATCCTGTGTGGGCCATATTCAGGGAGAGTTTTCCCTAGAACGACCCACACATAGATCAAAGTTTGGTAAATCATTTGAGGACATCTTATATGAGTCTTCTGCAGCCACAGATAATTACTAAAGGGACCCTCGATATTTATACATCGAGGGTCATTTAGCAGATATAGTGGAATAGGAAAATCCTTTCTTGTGAGAAGCCTGACCTGACCAGGTGTACACTGTGATGCATAAGCAGCTGGTCAAGGGAGTACATCTCGCTAGGATATTTACCATCGAGGTCACAGATGTACTATAAATCCTTGGCACTGTTGAAAAAAACAGTAAAAAAAAAACGAAATGGTTCTACTAGCTGGCCTAGATCATATGTTCCACTACGGCAAGTCTCTGGGTCAAGGTTATGGTAAAGCCAATAGGACTTCGCTTTTATAATGTAATGCTCGACATTTGCAGCCTAAATGCCTGCTAACGTCAGGTAAGACAATTTAAAAGTTCTGACAAATTTGGCCCAAAATAAAATACTAACGTGCATTGATAGCCAGCCATTGGTTAGCTAGACTATTTATAAAAAATGTTAAAGCAGCACAGCTGATACACAATTTCGTACCTACGAGGCGCAATGACCTTGACATTAGTTTACGTTAATTTTACTTCCTGTTTTATATTTCCCCTAAGATTGTGGAATAAACTTTTCCAAACAATAACATCCGTTCTATAGGTCTTATTTAAAATAAACCGGGAGTGATCTCCCCTAAACTTTCTCGAATATTCTTATATAACACTACGGGGGATTGCAACTGGGGATATAGACAATATTTTAAACGATTTTTAATTACTTAAACTTTTAAAAATAGAATAGAATCTCGCAGAAAAGTTTTTTCACACCAAGTGAATACCAAACAAAATGTGCATAATAGTGCGGGATATTATTAGTACTTTATAAATTCACATGCGTTTTTTTCAGAAATCGGAAATAGCGTAAATTACATATTCCGGTCAACGGAAATTACTCAAAATTTGATAGAAGGCAGAGAATTAGATCTTTTACTTACATGTGAAATTTCATTTATCTATCTGAAAAAGTACTAAAGTTAAAGGATTTTGAAAAATTCAAAGTAGAAAAAGTACCTTATCGTGTTTACAGACACACACGCACGCACACGCACACACACACACACACACACATACACACACACATAGTTCTTACACTTGATGATGGTCTTGTAGACCAGTTAAAAGTATGGTGTATGAGAATTTTTTTGGCTCTGTGTTGTTGGGGCTGTGGTGTTGTGGCTCTGTGGTGTTGTGGCAGCTCTGTGGTGTTGTAGCTCTCTCTCTCTATATATACATGTTATATACACACATATATGTAAACATATATACATATATATATATACATAAAATTATATATATATAGGCTATATATATTTAGGAAAAAAATATATATACAGACATATATATATATGTTTATTTATAATATATGTAAATATATACATAAAATTATATATATATATATATATATATATATATATATATATATATATATATATATATATATATATATATATATATAATGTGTGTGTGTAAAGTATGTCAGTTATCAACATAAGGTAAACAAAAAATATGATCCAAACTCATTTAGGGCCCAAAACAATTCAGTTTCAAATTTTTCTTGTAATCCGCCGACGTTTGTGAAAAAGTGAAACAAATCTGGCATGCAGGTAAAGAGTAGGCCTATATGTTGTCTAGAAAATTGATGTTTGTAATGGTTTTTCTGTGTTCATTTTATCACACTGTTTTAATATTATAATTTTTTAATCAATTATTTTCTAATACTATGTCATGCGACTCAGCTCTCATCGTCACAATCCAATTGACGGACATCCTAGGCGCATGAAATAATGTTTGGGTGCTTAAACCTTTCTTATACTTAGCCTCAGCCATAAAAAGTTCCTCTATATTATCCGTCAACACACGAACACATTATTACAGTCAAAACGTCCATACTTGTGGCTTTATCAGACTTAGAAGTTGAAATAAGTTATTTCAAAATTAATCGCTTTTTATTTTGTTTAATAAATCCGTTTCCTAATTTTTGACAATTTGTTTTTAAATATAAAGAATAGTCTTATATTCACTGTATAGAGAGTTACATTAGTCAAACTAATGCTAGATCTATACAATACACAAGTAAATTAACATCTGCTGGCAAGGTCATAAACGGTTTATTTATTTATTTGCTTGGGGGTGGGGTGTGGTGGGAGTGGGAAAGGAACTAAAAGGAAGGGGGACAACAAAGCCGAAGTACGTCAACATCAATAGCACCGACTTTTAGGACGGTAGCCTACTTGTCCCTTGCTGTACCGGAATTCAGGGGAGATAATTTAAATGTTTACAAGTGAAAAAAAATATTTGGTAATAAAATAGCTGTAAAAGCGTAAACAAGTATATGGGCATAAAATCGAAATAATTGGTACAATAAGTATATTTGCTTTTGAATTATTAGATCTATTAAAAGTAAGAACGATTTTTGGCTTCTATCGGTATGTCGATAAAGTAGTCCTGTCCCTGGACTAAACACAATATTATTTAAAAAAGGACTTACCGCTTCCCCCTTTTTTTTTGCTATCGATTTCACTAATTTTTTTTTGTTACCGCGATTTTACACGGTCAGATTAAGTGTAAGCGAAATGAGGGTGGTACGATAATTGTAAGCGAAATGAGGGTGGTACGAATAACCGTGGTATTAATGACCCACCTCTACCCTATATTAACATAATGCCGCATCCGGCAGCCATTAAAAATCTCATTATTTAAAAAAAAAATTAATTAAAAAAAATAGTACTAAAATAAATAAATACCTTTTAAAAATTTATTTTAATTATTTATTAGCACTTCGTATACTATTATTATAGAGGTATTTATATTTTTGTTTTGATCAAAGCCCACTTCTGATCCATCGTTAGACACTCAACCATTGATAATCAGATGCCACGCCCGTCCTGGCCGGCAGTTGAATTAAACTAAAACATGCGCTATAGACCGAGTTCATCATTTGCGGTCGCAAGGATTCTGTATATCACCTTTTTTTCTAACAGTGAGCGATAGAATATCCATTTTTTTTGTAAGAGGAAACCACTGACCCCAGTGTACTGACCCTGTGTGGGTCATATTCAGGGAGAGTTTTCCCTAGAACGACCCACTCATTGATCCAAGTTTAGTTTGATCATTTGATGACATCTTATATGGGTCTTCCGCCGC